TAAAAAACTGCATTCATTTTACTGAAAATAAATTCAGTGACTGTTTAACCCCTAAAGAACTATAACTGTTTTTATACCATAAATGTTTACATGCGAATTTCTCATTTCTAAATGTACCAGGTACATTTTATTTTCACATACTCTATTTAAATACCTTTATTTGTTTCAGTGTATCCCATTTCAGAAGCAACAGCTCTTCTTCACTAGCTTAACCCTTAAAATGCATTGATTGAGAACATTCTTAATACTCAGATATATTTTTCACAATAGATCAAAAAAGTGAGGATAATTTGTAGCATATAAAAACCAACACAGATGCTTTCTTTTGGGCTGAAGTAGATTTCAACAATTTACAAGTAAACATTTCTTCTGTAAAGAATTCTGAATTTGTTTAGAGAAATTGTGTTTGGAACAATGCTGTGAATACACTTTATCTGTGTGCAACAGTGAAGGGATTTAAACACCAGACAGGCTAGTTCCTGTTCAATGCTAAATTTAACAAACTTGGCAGTATGCACTAGTAATGTCCTTCTAACCGCAAGCTGCCAAGTTAAGCAAATATATTACTGACAAGCAGAAAATATCCCTCCCTCTCCAGACATATACGGATTTCTTCATTCTAATTCAGTGTATAGCAGGTAAGTCTAGTGTTATCAAAGTGTGTACTGGAGATGTAATTCACAACTTCCCTTAGAATTTTCATTTATTAAACAAATCTAGTCACAAATTCTCTCTCTATTTTTCCAAATACCAACTAAGCTCATGCTTTGGCTTTCATTCTAACAGATTTGGAATGTTTTCAATGTGGAGGGTAAAAAAAAACTGGAGACTGAAGGCTCATTCAAATTTAATAATGATCGGAATAAAACTGCACATCAGTGAGAATTAACTATTGTAATAATTTGTCAACTTTGTCTTCTAACTTGTGTGTTTATAGGAAAGGGCAATCTACAGGTAGATCACCAATCAGTTGATCAATTTAAGGAAATCATACTAGCAATTCCTTGCCACTATTTAAAGGCTGTATGAAGGATCTCAGCAAATATTTTAAAAGAGCCACTAAGACACGTTAAACCGCTTTGATCTATGCTGAAAAAACCCTGCAAAATACTGCAGATGCTGGAAATCTGAAACAAAAACCGAGATCGCTGGGAACACACAGCAGGTCAGACAGCATCTATGGAGAAAGGAAATTGGGGTCTATGTGGAGTTAGCTCTCACTGATGGTAATGCAACTGGCTTCAGCAGCTGTAGGTTGGTACAGCAAACAAATCAGTAAGAGTTCTTTGATCACTACCCAATGACTCTGTTGGAATACACAGATACAGAAAAGGTCCAGACTACTAATCTACCATGCATTCCATGATTGAAAAGTTTGACAATCACTGTTGTGACTTCCAAATAAATTGTGACCATTCAGACACAGGACAGGGAGAAAAAGTGATAAACAGGTTGCAGCTAATATCTAACTTTATACATAAGCAATCTATGTAGCTGAATTTGGAGCACTAGCTTTGGATCCAATCAAAAAAAGAAAAGCTTTATTATTATTAAGTTTCCAAGAATTCTAAGATTTTAAAGAGTTATTGAAATGGCAGTCATCTATTTTAGTATGAAAAATAATATTTATCAGCCAATAGCCTTCAAAAATTATAAAATTAAAACTCAAGTACAATGTTTCAGGAACTTAGAAGGAACGGTGCTTTTTATTCAACTTCACCATTAAAACCTAGCTATTTTTGAGAATGTTTTCAATTTTACTTCTTTCAGTTTTCTTTTTAAATTAACAATGATGTCACTGTCATCTTGAACTTTAGCAGGAGAAAAAGAAACTCTGGACAAGAAATATTCTACGAGGAGATGGTTTATAACTCATTTTAAGACCATCTTTCTGTCCTTTTTGGCACAGATAAGACCACCACAAGGGGATCAACACAGTATGGTGCTACGCAAATACTGCACTATGCAGCCTGCCAGCAGACACTGCTAATCAAAGATTTGTTGAGATTTACGGGAATATTCCATGAAGTGGCAGGTTTTTTGTTTGTTTTGTTCTTGACTAGTCATAAACAACGCAATCAATTGGTTAGCACCACCTTTCAGTTACTGACTGAGCTTCCTGGAAATTGTTTGGCCCAATTAATAGAAAATAAACATTTTGATTTGATAAAAGGCAACTTTTATACTTTGGGAAATTGAAAATATCTTTAGATTCAGATTTTAGATTCTAATTGTAAATTAGATTCTCTTCTCCAGTTTTCATACGAAAAGCAATCTACTGCACTCTACCAGTTATATTAAAAGTATTCATTGATGCAGTGGACGGAAAGCATTTGTATCTGCACAAGACATCATAGGATATCGCATAAATAATAATGCTATATGCAAAACTAAGGTGACGTGGCTCTAAACTTTAATATTGTAGCTGCAAATTATAACAGGAGTAATCTTTTTCTGGGCCTTATGGTCCACTGCTTATACAGAATATGTAAAGAAGGCTACTTTTATTATGCATTAAATATGATGTTAGTTATGAAAGTTAACATGCAAGGAAATTCCAGCTCTATTGTCCAAAGATTGTAGAACAGCAAAAAACAAATATCGCTTTATACAATGACTGCCTAGGACTGATTAGAAATATTCAAAGCATCCCCAAAAAATCCAAACCAAACTACATTACCTATGTCCATGGTTCCAATGTGGAAATAGAGCACATGTTAAATTTCCCAGCATTCTAGATACTTTTGTAAAGAACTATACCCGTTTATGAAAACACCTTTTGCTGGTTTTCCATATGGCAATCTGAAAAAATCCAAGAGCCTTTAAACATATGTACAGATTTGCCCGCTGGCTAAAACTGTTTTAAATGCTGACAGTCAAGTAACCAGAGCCAGCAGGAACAGCATACACAGATTTTGTGTCTTGACTTTTTCCTCCTAAGATTGCAACTCACTTTACTTAGATTCTAACAGGCTTTTGACTGTCAGGAATAGTTAGAATTTGGCTTAATATCCAGCTCAGTAAATTCCAGTGATGCTCAAATCCAATGTTAAAAAGAAAACCATGTATTGATAGAGCTGAAGGGGAAAGAAATATGGATAATGCTAACAGAAAATTATTCCAAGGCTTTACTACCCCTTTAATTAGTGAATATAACAAAAGGTGAAGTTTCCACGGGTAAACAACCTGTAAAACTAAGAATATCTCTCACAATAATTATGAGGCTTAAAAGTTATTTGACCGTGAGATAAAGCAGGGAGAGAGGCAAATAGACGACAAGCAGATGTTTAGGGGTGCAGCGTTCAACTGTAAGAGCCGATTCGGCTTTGTCTGCATATCGTGCTTCCACATATGTAACTGATCGTGGTCACAGGCCTTCTCACATATTGGTCAAATTGTCATTTCTGACTATGAGCCAATCTCTTTGCAGCAGAAAAACTGAAGTCGCTGGGAACACTCAGCAGGTCAGGCAGCATCTATGGAGAGAGGAAAGTGATTTAACATTTCAGGTCGATGACCTTTCGTTAGAACCTGTAATCGACCTGAAACGTTAACTCACTTTCCTCTCTCCATAAACACCTCCTAACCTGCTAAGTGTTCCAAGCAACTTCTGTTTTTATTTCAGATTTCCAGCATCTGCTGTATTTTGTCTTTTGTGTTGGGCCTCTTACTAGATCAGTTAAGTTCTTCAATGGGGGATTTAAGTTCACTAATGAATCCAGAATAGAGAGACATTAAAACTAGAAATTGCTAAGTTGCTGTGAGGGAATGTGGAGTCCTCTGAAATCTGATGCATCTATACTGGAAGTACTGAAAACAGTTTCAAGTGTGCACGTTTTGCTTCAGCTAAGAAAATGAGAAAAGAAAGCATGGCTGCAGAGCGCACTACAATTGCTTGAATCTGTGCATAAAATCTTATTTACAGGAGGTGCTGAGGGAACTAGTAAAAGTAAACTATGCCCTTAAATTCTTTTTCTTTTTGTCAGATAATTTATGATGCCAAGCAATAGGCAAATATTTTATGACCATGGAGACAGCATAGGGAAACTGTTAGAAAGACAAGGCAGCGAGATCCCAGTGAGAATTACAGTTTCAAATTCTATCAGCTATAGAATATGCCAGAATCTTAGGTGACCACCCAGGAAGTCCATCTAAAATACTAGGCTTTTCCAATGGAGGTGGTATTAACACAAATCTTCTTGTGATCAGATATGGTTTGTAAAGGGCAGGCTTTTTTTAGATAGTCTTATGAAATTTACCTCCAATTTCACAGGTGTTGCTCATATTTCATGTACCACTCTGGGTCTTTGGTGAATGCTTAGAAATGTATTTTGAAGTACAAGGATGCGGGTGGTGAAAAAGCTTCACATCATTGTGAGAAAATTTGCTTTTGGACCTGGGTTCAATCAGTGGTTCAAGGCATCATGTACGATCAATATAGCTTCAGAAGCAGTAACACTGTAGTTTGAAAGTGACACTGTAGCTTGACAGTAAATTATTAAGGACAGCTACATTATTAAGGGGATGACTTGGGTAAAAGCTCTGGTGCGTTCAACATTAAGCACATAGATGAGAAGATTAAATTCTTTGATTTAAATGGATCTCAATCAGAACCTCTGTTGGGCACGATAAACATGTTAATTTCCCCTGGGTGAGAGAAAAGGGGAAAGAAAAAAATAGATTTCATTCATAATTGTTATCCGGTACACTTGCAAAGTGCACATTTGTGACAACAGAATTGGCTGTGATACCCTCCATGATCAAATACCATGTTACCCTGGTCTCAAACATGAAAATGGCTGTTTGAGCAAGGTATTAGAACCTTACTGGGTTAGAGTCAATGCTTTTGGAAGAAAGGGAGAAATTGGAGATGGAAATGAATCAACTTCCCACTCAGTTCCCTTATTATTGCCCTTAGACCCTTCTAACAAAACTAGTTTATGAGCAGGGCAACAAAATGAAATGTACACTGAACAACTAACATTAGTCTTGTTTTACAGAAAAATCCCATTGGAGACCAAAGGTTGCCTCTTCGTTTTCTCTTAGCCAACATGAACTCACTCATCTGGACTTTGTGTCTGCTGTTAATTAGTCTCGTGTCTGCAGGAGGCAAAAGAGAGCAGCTTCACTCAAGAACCAACATTGCAGCTCATACTGTTGTTCATAATCGCTACAGACGTTCGCCTGAGTCAGGCAAATGTTCTTACACCTTCTTGGTCCCACAGCAAAGAATTACAGGTCCCATTTGTGTGAGTTCAAAGGGGCCAGAAACTGACTATAATGGAATAACTAAAATGGATGTGGAAGAATTGAAGGATATTATGTCTAAGCAAAAACGGCAGATTGAAAACCTACAGCTGATAGTGGAAGTCGATGGAGGGATAGTGAATGAGGTTAAACTACTTCGAAAGGAGAGTCGAAATATGAACTCACGTGTTACGCAGCTTTACATGCAACTACTGCATGAGATCATTCGCAAGAGGGACAACTCATTGGAAATCTCGCAGCTGGAGAACAAAGTTCTCAATTCTACAGCTGAGATTCTGAGAATGGCCACCAGGTACAGAGAACTGGAACAGAAGTATGCAGTGCTGTCTGCTCTGGTTAATAATCAGTCCCTCATAATATCTAGACTAGAGGACCAATGTATACGGAGCCTTGCTCCAAGGGACTATCATCCACCACCTCTTGTTCAAGTAGTACCACAGACGATACCTCGCAGGGGGAGATACCAGAGCAATTTGCATGGCAGTAATGAAATTCAGAGAGATCAAAATCCAGCATATTCACAAGAGCGAGCGGTTCGTTTGAGGCCCCCACTGCCTGAACCTTCTCCTACAACAGCTGGTGTCATGGAATCACCCGTTACTGAAGACATGGAGGGTAGGTTTCTAATTCAAATAGGATTTTAGGTATAGGTTGCATAGAATGTTCTTTATTCCTATCTTTTTATCTACCTATATTGTTATTGCTACATAAATGCAATTTACCTATATAGTTATTGCTATATAAATGCATTTGTTGTTGTTTGTATCGATTATGCCAATGACTCCACAAAAAAAACAACTTCTTTTCAGATTTGTTAGAACCCATTTAAAACCTTATTTCACTTACACACACTCTTCCAAGCCTTTGAGTCAGCTTGACTCAGCTGGTAGCATTATTGCTTCTGAGTTAGAAGGTTGTGGCTTCAAGGCCCGCGTTAGCACTTGAATTCACATGTTCTAGCCTGACACTACAATGCAGTGCCTGGGGTGTGCAGCATTGTTGGTGGGCTTAAACACTTGTGTAAACTATTGGAAAAGAGAAGGAATGCACTGGGATCAGCTGCATGGTAGAATTCACACAATGGGTGATGCAATAAACACAATTGATGCTCAGTCTGCAGGTACAGTATATGGCTTCATTGAATAGGTGCTGCCATTTTATTGATTTTCCAGCAATGCCCGATGTTCATTTTAACATAAATTTTATAATAGCAACTCATACAAGATAGCATACGACTATGTTCAGTTCTGTATTTGCAAAGCTGACAAAATTTCACAGTGAGTAAGGATTACGACATGAATGTATCTGAGAAATATGGGGTAACACGTTGGTCGAAAGGAGCAGATGACAACGTAAAATTGATACAGCTAACTACTCTGTTTGACATCGCAGCTCTTCAATATGAAAGATCTTGAAAACACTTCTACTTGTGTTTTCCTGGAAAATACATGCAGATGTTCACAGTGGTTTCAAATGGGGTTTATGTTATTGTTTACCACAGTAGAATAGCAGACTTGTGTGCTTTGTGAAATAAATGAGCTCCCGATAATTGTTGATCCTACAGTGCAGTAGCGGGGGAGCATGACATTGTCGAAGATACTGTCTTTTGAATAAAATTTTCACTTGAGGTCCCATCTGCTTTTTGATGTAGGAGTTAAGTTCCATAACCCTATCATAGTTTCCTCCTAGTGTTGCCAAATCCTGCAGATAAATTGGTCACTCAATGTTTGTGGGATATTGCTGGTGTGAATGGCTGCGGTGCTTGCCTACAAAAACAGTCGCTATCTGTCACAATAATTAATGTCAAGTGCATATTTCGATGTGAAAAAAGCAAGTTCTTTCTTAAATGACCAGAACTGTTCTGAACTTATATTTGAGTGAAATCAGAGTACCTGACCTTTTCTTGTAGCCAGGATATGTTATATTCAAAGGTAACAGGGAATTTCATTGATCGCAGTACAGTACGCTTAAAGGAGAAGGCAAGAATACAGGATTCACTTTCAATATAAAATACTGCTCTCTTTCAGGTAAAATTAATCTTCCATCTTATTGGGAATACTGCCATTTCCCAGTTTAACCACTCAGCAGGGATATTGAAGTGGGAGCCACAAAGGTGCTGTTAGCCACATGATCCACTAACAAGCAGAATATCTCACTGATTGATATTCTTAACCAGTCTGTACATTGACTGGGAGATATCCAAAGTGGGAACCTTAATTACCGGGCATGCAGAAAGTCTGGACTGAGGTTTCCTGCCTTGGAAACTTACCAGGGATTTCCCAGGGAACCATTCTCGATTTCCATGCAGCCGATTTAAGCTGAGCAGCTCTTAAATAAATGTGGAGGCCTGAAATTGGGTAAAATTCCACCTGGGTCTATATTTACTGGATTAAAGTAGCATTTTAGAACTAAATTAGGAATCAGAATGGTTTCAGGCTCATTTTAATTAACCATTTCAAAGGAACCATAAAGTGATGAACTCCAGAGAGCGAGAAAAGCCGGAAGAGTATCACCTCATCACATTAAATGTGAACAACTCTAAAATGCATTTAAGCTCAATTTATGGAACTGCTATGTGTATTATAAAGAGGGTTCACCAACATTTATCTGAATAATCTCCTTGATGTAAAATAAAAAGAGAAACCCAGATGTTAACAAAAATCTTAAAAATTTGGATATTATCAATTTTCTTTCAACCAGGATATTTATCAATTAACCCCAATTTGAATTGCATACTAAAGCAAACATTTTTTTGGAAAAAAAACTACAACTCATTATAAGGCCTGGGGCTATTTCCAGCCTTCCATCCCTTAATCTGTGGTCCTTGGCAGACTTTGTGCTCAATGTGCCTCTGGGCTTCCATTCACAACCTGCCCAGCTGCGGGATGCTGAACAAGCTCGGCTTCAGTGCTGCTCCTTTTCTTGTTCTCCAGCAAAATTTAAGCATATGCCATTAGGGCTCAGGGTTATGTTCCCATATAGCAGTTGAAAGATCCCAATTAAAATATTTCAACAACAACAATTTCCATTTATAGAGTGCTGTTCAACATTTCAGGGAACTATTAATGTCATAATTTTTTCCCTCTTTTCCTGTGGGTAAGTGCCTGCCCTCTACTTGGCAGTTGCCCACAGGTGTATCCTTAGAAATTAGGAACCGACTGTGTAGGGAATCCAAGATCAGCAAACTGCAGTGCAGGCTATTTCTGCATTCATGATTTTTTGAACAAAACATGGATTACAATGGTTGTCCTCAATAAAAATAATGAGTCGAACTGTGTTCCATGTTTATCTGCAGTGTCTCATGACTGTGAATCATTTAAGTGATTTCCCCATACGGTTACATAAATTCTTTCCAGAGATGTTATTAATGTCACTTTCTTTAAAGCAGGGATGCTCAGTAAAATTTAGTAAATGTTATGTTGTGGCCACATCCATATGTTTACAGGCAAGTCTTCACTCTTTCATATTGCCAATTTTCTGAAACAAATACCATAACTCTCAATGTTAACTGTTTTGAATGTATTTTCTTTGTAACCAGATGTTTGCATTACTCAATGGGTTGAGTACATATGCACTATTCTTTCACATCTCGATTTCAACTCCTAACAAAATTTCTCACTGACATTTTGTTTGCTGGCTTACTTTCTGACTTTGCCGGCCTAGGCTTCATGATTTGCATGTTTCACAAGATAGGAAATGCAATGAGTACAACAAATCGGATTTGCAAAATTTGGAAATTAGACGCCAGTATTGGGGAAAAGTAGAATGAACTTTATAACCTAGCTGATCTACTCTCAGTTCTTAGCAAATGTTTTCACCAGTTGGTAAGAGAACAAAGTATAGGTCAGGATGACTCGCCTGCTAATTTCCATTTTCTCTTTTAGTGCAATCCACGTCTCCAAATGTAGCTAAATTAGCTTTTGGCTTCCCTCTGAGGGCATACCTCAAATATACTTGGAAACCCGTACAGGCACGGCATGCTCAAGTATAACTGATGTTAGCAGTTTGATATTGGACGGTCAGGTTACATTAAAGCTAACTATTGTAATCATATGCCCCAAAATGTGTGCATAGATTTGATATATATATGCATCTTTCCAAACCTTTTCTTGCATGTTTTTTGACCAGAATTTGGTCCATCAAGGATTATGTTGAAAAACGCTGAAATGTTTGAACCTTAGCCCACTGAGCCAATAACAATTTCGGTTGAATGTCTCACTACTATTGCACATCGCTGTACAGTCAGACATCCAGCGTCCAAAAATCTGCAACCAATTAACGTTGCTACTCAAATACCAAAACAATGTCTTGTACCAGTTTTGAACTTAATTAGTCACAAACTTTCAACAGTTCAACACGCAAGAAAATAGGTCACTTAGTTTCTGTCTTACACTATCGCAAAATAACCCTTTTCAAGGTGCCAAAGTGTCTCTTTAAACTAAACACAGAGCATGAGAAACAGATTTTACTTCTCTGCCCTACTTTCTGGAACTCTCTTCCAAAATCAGTTACTTGGCAGCTACCCTGAGGGTGTAGTGGATAAAGCTGCAGCATATCGACCAGGTTGCTGATTTAAATCCCAGTCCATGTTAAATTTGGTGGTCTCACATAGGATTGCAATTAACCCTGGATTAGCCAAGGAAAAACAGACTGTTCCAGTTACTTTACAACACCCTCTACTGGCAGTGTGCATATGTGGCAGCCAGGTGGGGAGAGGCCTCGATCAGCTTTGACGCCCTCTACAGCTGACTGGCCCACTGACACTCATATGTAAACAAGGGTCCCTTCAGAGCAAATGGCAATTAGCAGGCGAGTTGCACTGGAGGGCAACCAAGGCCAGTGGAACTCACTCCAGCAAGAAGCGGCCAGTCCAGGAGTAGAGAGACATACTCCAATTGTGAGAAAATTAGACACAAAATTTATACATAACAAAAAGGAAAGCAAATACCAACCTGTTTGCTGGTGGGCACTGGCCCTGCTCCACATACACTGCCCGCCCCTTCATTGATAGTTAGGCCTTCAGCTTTTCTGTCCCTACCTCTGGAACTGCATCCTAGCATCCCTCCACTTCGCACCCTCCCTTGCCTCCTTCAAGGCTCGTTTCAAGATCTTCCTCTTTGATTGTGCCTTCAGCTACCCTCCCACCTGTTGTTCAGCGCCCTAGGTCGTTCCTTCAGACATGAAAGGGGTTATATAAATGTAACTTTGTTATTGGGCAACTTGGGACAGTGGCATATCCGCTGCCTTGTTTACGCCACTACTGGTGGTCAAAATGCCAGAAAATACCCCTTTAATCTCCAGTCTAATTACTGCTCTAATCTCCAGGCTATCTCTCTACCTTGCCTCCCCTCCATCCACCTAAATCATCTCTCACCCACCACCAACTGCTCCCTGAGTGACGAAGCCCATCTGTGAAATGGTCTGAGACATTATCTTATGTGACGTGCCTTTATAAATGCAAATTGGTGTTTGCATTGAGCTGCTCCTCTTTCACTATTAAATTGGTTTAGCACCTTGAAAACTAGCCTAGCTAGTGAAAGCAGGCAGAGTTTTGTGAATGAGAAAGTTTTCAGCATTTCCTTTGTTTTTTCTAACCTTTTTTACCTGCTTTTGTTTATAGTCACCTGAAGGTTCACCAATGAATGCATGGAATACTCTCATCATTATTCAGACGCCAATATTTCTAAACACATACTTGAAATAAACTCCAAGTTCCATTCAAAGCTTGTAAATTTACAATTACAGGAACACATTTACCCACTTGAATTTATACTAGCTTAACAAAATAAATCCATACAAGTACAGTATTACACTGATATAAGGAAGTAGTTGGGAGTCATAGAATTCCACCTTGTCTTATAACAGGGCACAATCAGTCAGCACTTCCGCAACATTACATCACTGATCATGACCGGTGACACCACTACATGTATGTGTGGAAAACCAGCTAGCTCTATTAGCACAAATTACACTTCAAAGGAGTCATTCATGATGACACATTTTGAAGCATGAAGTGCACATTTCGGGTTTTCTTGGAAAGTAAATTCAGGTCCACACACCGCAATTGTGCAAAAGAGTGAACCTGCATTTTATGTGGTTCTACAATAGGAACTGGATTTCAGTAACTTCTCAAACTGTGCGTCAAGAGAACAGGCAAGAAATCTGGAAAAATACTACATCTTGTTCTCACCAAAAAAATGGATAAAGGGATCAATATCTGCAGACTTTTCCTGCTGGTTTGGATCTGATGGGGTGCTTCCAGTTCAGTTCTGTATATTTAACTCAAAACTCTGGCATCACAATCTGGAAAACATTCTGACATTTCTCATAGCTACCACTTTCCCACAGTGCCTGGCCCCCTGATGAGTACATGTTCCTGCCAACTGCTATGCGTCTCCAGCTACAACAGCATGCCCGTCTGCTCCTCCCACCCCACTTCTACAGCCAGCTAGAGACAAATTTCTGCTTCATCTCATAAGTTGTCATGACAACATCAGCACAAGTTATTGTGAGTTTCTCCTGAACGCTACCAGGACTCTTGGCACACGCTGCAAACTCAGCTCTGGAAAAGTTGGCACCAATTTTGAAAAAGCCAAGGTGCAAATTAGGGCAAGCAGCGGGCTACAAATTAAATTTTCTTTTACAAGAAAGCTGTTTATATTTTCAGAAAGGCTTCGATCTGAATGAATAAGAAGAGAATACATCTCGATTGCACAGACCATGGGCCCAAATCACCAAATATTCAGAATTTCACTTTTCCAAAGAGAATGAAAAATTCAAAAGTTTTTTTAATTTTGAATTTCCATTCTAGAATTGATAGTTTTCAACAGTGGATTCCTTTCAATATTTAATAGCGTGTTAGGCAACCATTATTATATTAAGAAGAATCTTTATTATAGATCACAATAGTCTCAGTTTTGTCCCAATGTTTACGGATAAGAATGCACTGAATTGAGAAATTATTAGATCTTTAATTGTCAACACGTAATAAGAGAATAATTATGACCATTGGTTGACATGCAGAATTTGATGCAGGCAACACTTCAAAACTCTACTCCCAATGGTAATTTATTTTGATGCAGTTGAACCTTTCCCCTAAGATTAGTGATCAACTGTCTAAACTGCAACCACTGTGAACATTTGGTTTCCTTAAACAAACCCCACTGACCTCCAAAATGAATTTGAGTTTAAAATTTGCTATTTTACATTTTGCTCTGTAGAACAAGAACAAAGATTTTGTAAATAATTGACAGTACAGTTTAACTTGTCCTGTGTCTTGTTATTGGTACTCAAAAGTATTTCCTTTCAAAAGTCAGAAGAAACTGTCAACCAGGCAAAGTTTAACTGGAATCCTCCACTAAATATCTTTAAAATGTGGTAAAGAATGGAAAGTTAATTTGATACAAGAAAAGCAATAAAAAATATAATACAGCACTGTTTCTGGGCAAAGTACAGAGGTGTGGTACAATTTCTTTGCATCAGTTACCGCTCCTTTTATATTACTAGGGTGATTTGACATTGTTTTCAGCAGTAGCCAGATTTAAACTGCTCGATCCAAATTGCTCTCACCAGGAGCTAAGGAGAGCTCTGTAATTACAGTGCTGAATCTCAGCAAACGGCTTCTCCTCCAGCCCCTGCACCGTCTTGTGCAGTGTTCCTCAGGGCTCTGTCCTCGGTCCCTCCTCTTCACCCTCTACATGCTCCCCCTTGGTGACATCATCTGCAGACATGGCGTAAATTTCCATATGTATGCAGATGACACCCAACTCTATGTCTCTCTGCCTCCACCCTGAACTCCAGGACTACTGGTGTCCTGACCGACTGCATGTCTGACATCAAGTCCTGGACGAGGACCAACTTTCTCCACTGAATGTCAGCAAGACCGAGGCCCTTCTGATTGGCTCACGCCAAAACTATCAACACCTTAGGTGCTGGCAGCATCAGCCTCCATGGCTGCACACTCAACCTCACTAAGCCAGTCAGGAACCTGGGTATCTTGTTTGACCCTGAACTGTCCTTTCTCCCCCACATCCGTGCCATGACCGGCACTGCCCATCACCACCTCCGCAACATTGCCAGACTCTGCCACTGCCTCACCCCTCAGGCTGCCGAAACCCTCACCCACGCATTCGTCACATCAACGTTCGATTATGGAAACTCCCTCTTCATCGGCCTTCCCAATTCTTCCCTTCACAAGCTGCAGATCATCCAAAACTCTGCAGTTCGTGTACTCTCCCGCACCAGGCTCCGTGACCCCATCACTCCCACCCTCGCTGGACTCCACTGGCTCCCCAGCCCTCAGAAGATCGAATTCAAGATTCTCGTCCTCACTTTCAAGGCCATCCATGGCTTTGTTCCTCCTGCCTCTCTGATCTGCTGACTCCCTACCAACCTGCCCACTCCCTCAGTTCACCGGGCTCCGGCCTGCTCCGTGTCTCCTGCCCGACCCGCCCTGCCATCGGTGGCCGGGCTTTCAGCCTCTCTGCCCCCACTCTGGAATTCCATCCTACAGTCCCTTCACCTCGCTTCCTCCCTTGCCTCCTTCAAGGCCGGTCTCAAGACAATCCTCTTCGATTGTGCCTTCAGTCACCCTCCCACCTCCCTGTCTTCCTTCACCCCTATCCCACTCACCCCCCATGCTCGGGTTCCGACCTCTGACTGTACAGCACCTTGGGACGTCCTCCCAACGTGAAAGGCGCTCTATAAATTTAATTTTATTATTTTTGTTGAATGCCTGTCAGTTTTTAAAATGCTTTTAAAGAGCAGAGAATGCAACTTGCCTAGATTAAAAGTTCAAAGCATCAAATCCAAACTTTAAGTTATATATAATATATATATAGACACAATATATATAATATATAGACACAATTTAGATTAATATAGATTAACTTTACTTGAGTGGGTTTGAATTTTATTTTACAGAAATCAGTGGGAATACTAGATGCTGATGCGAGTTTTAATGAAATCTCCTCCTCGTTTCAGTTTGACTCACTTGATAGCTGAATTCACCTCGGAATCAGAAGGTTCAGATCTATGTCAAAAATTGAGTTCACAGTTTAGGCTAACGTTTTAGGGCAGCATTGGAACTCAAGCGATGCATAGTCAGAGGTGACATTATAATCGGATGAGATGTTAAACTGAGGTCCTGCCAGCCTATTCAAGTGGACACCTGGGTTCAATTCCAGGCAGGGTGAAACCTTGGGCAACTTTCCTTACTCCACACGACTAATAATAATCGCTCCAAAAAAAACAATAATAAATTGGTGATTTTCAGTCCACGACTGTTTGTGGGACACTGCTGTGCGCAATTGGCTGCTGCATTTTGTCCACATATATACGGTCAATTCATTTTACAGCATATTCTGTGAAGCGCTTTGAGATGTCTAGAAGACGTGAAAAGCGCTATATCAAATGCAAGGATTATTATTATAACAACACTATTTGATAAGTGAAAGCAGGGGTCCCAATATCCAGTCCAACAATTCTCCAAATCCTTTCCTGTCATGCACAAAATGGCTGCAGCATTTGCCTACAAAACATCACTGCATTTGATAATTACTGTCAAGTGCTGCAGTTTACTTTTCAAAACGACTGGAATGAAAAGAATGCACATGGCAACGTGGGGAAAATAGAATCTGTTCCATTTGCAAACAAGGGCTTTGACAAGTTTTTTTTAAAAAAGCATAGTGACAATCAAAGACATCGAGCTGTTAAATTGTTAAAATAAAATCCATATTTCCTTAAAAAAATTCAGACAGAGTTTCGTCCTCTTGGCTATCCCTTCCCATGTGAGGTCCTCTTCACTATTTCAACCCCCACCAGCTCTAAGAAAGAACACACCGTCCTGCTTCGGTTGGCGGACTTAGTATTTTCCCACATTTCCCGTCACAGACCAATGCTATTTGATATTGGTTGGACACTACTTGAACCAAGCTCAGACTGTTGAGACTACCTATGCTACCTTTATGAATGTAAGACTCTGTAATTTTTTGTTGATATTTTTCTTGGATGGAAGCTCCCCAACTCTGTATACCAAAAACTAACATTTAAAAAACAAACAAAAAAGTAGCGCCTGTCTAGTTTTCCAAGGATATGGGGTCTATATGTGCACAGCTAACACAGCAAAGAATGCATCAGTGCTTTCTTAATTTTAAAAAAAATCTAATTTAATTCAGATATTTCAAAGACAAATTTTTGCTTCCTGAGAACAACTTTTTACTGATCCGCTTGACGGAAAGATGAGATTTTGATTGTAATACACATCGTGCAAGCTATTATGAAAATTATGAATTTCCATGCTTTCTTACAGGTCCATGGAAAGATTGCTACCATGTTTGGCAGGCTGGATATGCCAACAGTGGCATGTACCTAATTAAACCAAGCGGCACTGATGAAATTATGCAGGTTTGGTGTGATCACGGCCATGATCAAGGAGGCTGGACTGTCATCCAGCGAAGGATGGATGGGGCAGTCAACTTCTTCAGGAACTGGGAAAACTACAAGGTAAATCTGTCATGGACACTTTTTTGGTTAATGTGCAGTAATATTTGTTATGGGTGAGGCAGAATTGTAGTCACAGGCCAGGCACATTCAAGATATACTTTTAGGATCACGCTAAAAATAATCCTATTCTCTAGCTTCACATTACATATTGCCCCTAACTGATATATGCTGATGCCCTCAACCCATACCGCTTTGGTAATAATCTGTACTGAACTTTGCATTGCATCACAGATGTTTATGGTATAATGTTTAAAGGTATATGAACAGATAATCTATTCTGATAAAATCTATATAGAGCTCAGGCTGCACCAAGTTGTGTGCAAACTTGGGTATTCAACTTGTCCCTGAGCTGGGTTTCAAACACCAAATCCAGTTAATCACAAAGACTGTCTTCTTCCTGTTCTGGAATATTGTCCCCCTACACCTTATCCACTACAAACAAAACTCTTATCCACGCTTTAATCAGTTTGAGTATAGACTTTTCCAATGATTTCCACTGTCAACTGCTTAAGTTTTATTCAGCACAATGTTTCGGACATCCATTATCCCCGTCCTCACCAAACTCCACCAACTTCCAATAACTCCCTCTGCCAACAGTGTCAACAGTTACTTAATTACAATACATATTCTTCAATCTACCTACTCGAGTCCATGCTTTTCCCCACCATTTCCTTTTCTACACCATCAGTGGCCAAGCCTTCAACTACCATGCCCCTTGTTCTCCGGAACTCTAATCCAAAAGCACGGTATATTGCCTTTCTACTTTTCTCCCCAATTTTAAAAACTTCCAAAACATTCTTTGATTAATAACTTAAAAAATTCTCATTACCCTACTCAGTGTCCACCTCTATATGTGCAAAGTGCTTTGAGATGTTCTTTTACCTGAAAGGCACTATGTAAATTAACTTGTTGAGGAGGAGTATTAAGAATTGGCAGCTACATATTCCACAAGAACATCAAATACATTTTCAAATGTTGAATTCCCCATTAACCACTTGATTCTATTTATGGAGATAATTGGTCTGTTCAGCCCTGCAGCATGAGGAACAGACTGGATAAGGAGCAAAAAATAACTGTTATTAAAAAAGAGCAGAATTCATTGAATTCAATAGGAGAGGTCTGTACACTAACCTAGCTTCTAGATTTTAATGGTTTAAAATCGTTGGGATAACAGAAACCCACAAACTAAAACGGTTTATAAAATTCTCCTCACGGTGACATCATGATGGGCATTTTGATTCCAACATGCCAATACCACCATTCAAACTATGAATGAAATTAACAGTTGGTGGAATACTTGAACCGAGTGGCTTGGCTAAGAAACTACTGGAAGTCTATCTTGTTGTCAGGTGGATTAGAATATCCATTTGCGAATAATCCATTTGGAGTTTTGGATTCTCACAGGAAGCGGGTAACTCAAACCACCTCAACCAGTGTAGAAACTAACTCTACAAACCAACCCTAAAGCAAGTTCTGGCAGCTCTAAGACCATTTAAAAGGTGCTGGCAAATGGATTATTGGTGGATACTCAAATCCATCTGCCAATAAGTTGGACTTCCAGTAATTTCTCAGCCAAGCCACTTAGTTTAAGCATTCCAGCAAAGAAAATAACATAAAAACTGCTTTAAGAATGCTTTGGGGGTGCATTCATCAAAAATGAAAGAATGCTACTATGCAAGATGCATGGTTCCAAATGAGCAAAAAATAAAATTTCTAAATGCAGTTTAGAAAAATAACTAAACTGAAAGTTCAACTGATTATGAAATCAACGGTAGCAATTGAAACTAAACGTCAAACCATCCATTTATTATGAAGGTAAATATACTGTATAAATAGTCTGGGACAAGACATTTGCATGTGACTGCCAGGATGGTGGAAGGTGAACTAGATGGACCTTGGTCTTCTTCCGCCTAGCAAATTCTTATGTTCTTAAACCAACTGTTGATTCACCACTGAAAGTCTTGTTCATGTTCATAAGTTCGTTGATTTAACTGATCTTCATTGTTCATCAAAGAAAAGGTACTCCAAGAACATTGCTAGTTGTACTATTTCACTTGTGCAAGTCATGTTTATGAATTCAGAACAGATTTTGCTTGGTCTTGTCCAACTGCATTTCCCAGACATAAAGTTAGAACAATTGGATGTAGGCAAAGCTATACAATATGTAATCCAAAAAATTAACCAAACTCCTTGAAATGGCACTTAACGAGATTAGATTGTCAATTTAAGAAACATGAGACAGCAAAAAGGCCAAAAGTTTATACCTCACACCGAAGCAACTAAATCATAAAAGATTACTAAGTGCTACAGTCAAACCTGTTCAAGCATTCACTTCCATTCAGCAACCATGCCATCAACAACTACGCTGGAACAGCCTGGATAACACACCAATAAACTCTTATTCAGAGGCCACCCTTATGTAAAGGCCACTATGCCCCAGTCCCTGAGTGGTTGTTGAGGACAGGTATTGGTCCTAAAAGGAGAACCTAACATCATTTGCTAATCAATTTAGGAGCCATATTTCACATATTGAGGTGCAGAAGCCTGGATGCAATCATCCACCCTCCCCATCTCTTGGAAGCTATGGTTGGTGTGTGGTCAAGGCCAATAAAGATTCATTAAAATCTGGATAGAAAACAACATACATTTTTCTTTAGGATATGAAAAGATGATTTATAATAATCCTTGCATTTGATATTGCACTTTTTGCATCAGAAGAACCTTGCGAAATTGCATACGTTCTTATTGTTCATGATATTCCTTATTTTTTGTCCTCAGCAAAGTTAGAAATTGCTCCTCTTATATAAGAATCCAAATCATTTGTATAAATGGAGAAAAGCAATGGTTCAAACACACTCACCAGGGGACACCATTATTTAAATCTCTCCATTCTGAATATAAATCATGTACTGCCACTCAGTTTCCTTTTGTGGGTGGTTGCAAACAAACAGTGAAGTGAGAATACTAATCTAAACCGATTTTATCTGATTTCAGAAAGGGTTTGGAAATATTGATGGGGAACACTGGCTTGGATTGGAAAAAATTCACAGACTGACTGTTCAAGGAAACTACAAGTTGTACATTAAATTGGAAGACTGGAATGACAAGAAAGTCTATGCTGAGTATACTAGCTTCAGGGTTGAGGATGAAGGGGATTACTACAGACTTCGAGTTGGCAGTTATCAAGGGACTGCAGGAGACTCTTTAATATGGCATAATGGCAAGCAGTTTACAACACTTGATCGAGACAGAGATTTGTACTCAGGTAAGAAGCTTGCGACTCTTGAATTGTACAATTGAGGACAAGGAGTACTTGTTGAAATGCAATTGAGTTGTGGATTAATAGTCCTGTTATGATGGCAAATGAGGCAAGTTAATGGGCAGGCAGGGAAGCTAAACAGAGCTGCAGTATTTCCATGCATTTGACACGGTTAATACACATTCCTTATTATAGTGCACAAAACTGTGCTTGCAATATATGGTAAACTGCCCTGGAGATCAGACTATGCTTTTTTCAAGCATCTGGGGGTGGGTAGTTTTAGAGGTCAACTGAACAAATTAGACAGAAGGAACGATTTAATAAGTGAAACAAATGACATTAAATAATGTTGCTTCAATCAACAGAAAAGAAAGTCAGAAGAATCCTTAAACATGTTGTCACACTTGTGCACAATACCATTGTGATGGAATAGCGGAATCTCAAACACCCAAGTTATGCTTTTCATGCTCATTGCTACAAGAAAGCAGAAATCAAGAGCTGGTACCTCTCCAGAGCAATGAAGGAGAGGCCAGCCATCAATGAGGTGTTCCCATATAATTTATGGGAAACAACTCAAGAGTTGGCGCAAAAATTAAAATCTCAATGTACAAATTTCATTGTGCTACGGTTAAAGAATTAGAGGCGAATCCATACAACATGAAAAATGTGGACTGCTGGCAGTCTGGCTCAGCTGATAGAATTCTTGCCTCAAAGTCAGAAGGTACTACGTTCAAGTCCCAATGTTAGGTCCTTTAGTTCGTACAGTGCAGTGCTTGGGGAGTACTACATAGTCAAAGTTGTCATCCTCTGGTTGAGACATTAAACCAAGTACCCACCTGTTCGTTAGGGACAGTAAAGATCCCTTACCGTTATCAGAAAAAAGAAGGGGGAGTTTCTCACAGTGTCCTAGCCAACAATGTTTCAGATAATAAGATATGGCCGTTCACTTCATGATTTTTTTTTGTGTGGGACACTGCAGTGTGCAAATTGGGTGAGACATAAGCTTCCAAATAGAGTCACTACACTTAACAGAAAACTCCAATCACTTTGAGAAATTTCAAAGTTACAAGGCATTGCATTAAAAGTAAGAAATATTTATTGATTTAGAACTGACACAGGAATTGATTCATTAACTGTTTGTTTTACTGTTTGTTTTATCCATGTAGGTAACTGCGCTCATTTTCACAAAGGTGGCTGGTGGTATAATGCCTGTGCACATTCAAATCTGAATGGAGTGTGGTATCGTGGAGGTCATTATCGTAGCAAGTACCAAGACGGAGTTTACTGGGCTGAATTCCGAGGGGGTTCCTACTCTCTAAAAAGTGCTGTAATGATGGTCAAGCCTGAATAATACTCCTCAAGAAAAAGTCAGTTTTGCGTGGACATTCTAATGTAAACCATTGAATGGAGCATTCTTTCAAATGGAAACCATGATCTTTGATAAAGAAACATTCTTTTTAACAAACTGAATAAGTGCTAAAAAGCATACCTACCACATGGTTTCGTTGCCTTATAAAATGTAACAGGAGATAATCAGGATACGAAAGGCACTTATGAGGACATTTAATACCCTAAGCATTTATGTGCACCTCTACTTAATGCTCACTAGCACCTTGTTAAAGACAGCCATTGCCCAACTAATTAGGAACATGGAATGGAAGAAGGCTATTAAAATAATATTGAGCCTTTTTTGCCGGTTTAGGACATTATATCAGATCCAGGAATCTCCATTCCCTATCTTTACTCCATATTTCTGCCAACTATTTCCCCATCGATTCTGACTTAATGCCCTTCTGAAGCAGCACAATTCCACATTATTACAATCTATTGCGTGGAGAAAGGTTTCTGATCTCACTTCTAACTGTCTTAATTCTAAACTTAAGAATAAAATGCTTACCTTTCCAAAGAAAAGCACTATATTGGGCTGAAATTCCAGTCAGCATTACATACAGCACCTTTAGCAGTGTCAGTCACCAATGCCTTTTCCTTATTATAATCTCATATCACCAAAAGTGCTATGAATAACACCAAACAGAATTTCAGCTATGAACATACAGCAAATTTAATAAGATTTTATACCACCCAAGCATATTATTCAAAATAACATTTGGATGGATAATAATATTGTACTACATTATAATCAGACAAACTGTTTAGTACAGTTCAATTCTGCAAGAATTCTCAGATTTATGTAAAATAAATTGGGGGAATCCACAACACCTCCATTACCACCTGAAAAGAAAACTTCCAAAATACTATTACTCATAGCTAATGCATTTCAAACTAAATATACCAAGCAGTAAAGTTGAACTATACAGAAGAGTTTTATTCCAAGAAAAATAAATAGTCTGTAAATAATTAAAACACAAAACTCTTGGTCTGAAGGCATTTAAACAAACAGTCTTCATATTCTCACGAAGACTAAAACTTGGAAACCTGGACCATGTGTAAACAAATTAGATTCACAACAGATGAAAAACTTCCAGGATTTGATCTGAATCCATGGTTATATTACAAAATCCCTTATTTCTACAGTGAAAAGTTTAGTGCCCACTCCAAAAACATCAACTTTATGTGAATTTAAAAGTGGGTTTCTGATGGAAGTTTAAAAGGCATCACTAGATACAATTAATATCCTCCTGTAGCCCACATCATCCATCTACCTTGATCAAAAAAGAATTGGGAGAGGAATGTTGGTGGATTTTTTAGAGCTCAAAAATTAATTAAAATACTCTAAATAAAATAACTTGATTTACCATTAAAAGCCCAAAGAAATTATTCATGCTTGGGAATTTTCCCTAAATGCATTCTCTTAAAATATATTCAAACACATTTAAAAAATGCAACTCTACCCAAACAGCATCACAGATTTCCAAAAATGCAGTTAATATTACTGCAATCGTTTTTGGTCAGCTAGGCACCTAACCATCGTCATGGTGAGGAGGATCCCAACCAGACAAATCCTCCTCACCATGGCATGCATGGAAAAGTTAGTGTCTGGAATGGAATACTATATTCTTCCTACAGAGGTGCTTCCTACTTCTCTAACTCCACAAAATAAAAGGCACTGGTTGACGAGAACCAAAGCTTTTGAATCCCCAGAATGCGAGATGGGGCACTGCTGGAGTTTAACCAGCTAAAACTGTAGAGTTTACCATTGAGAGCACTGTTCTGCAAGCTTCCCATTGTCTGACCAGCTACAATCACCATAACTTTAGGGTTTAGGCTTGCATGGTTAACAAGACCCAAATAGAAAGAAGGCCAAAGTAACTAGTCTACTCCTCCAAGGCCCACCATTGAGCCAGACTGGATTGTCTGTCATCAGTAGTGACCTAGAGCACTGCGGATCCAACTGGCTCAGGAACTGGATTACCAAAACTGCCATAGGCGTAACTCAAATCTAACATTCCAAAGAAATTTACAGCACAGAAGATGGCCATTCTGCACATTGTCTCATATTTGGTGCCAAGTACATCACCTCCAGTCAGCTCAGCCCCAAGGAGAGCCCACTATTACCAGTCATATTTTCTCATTGCTAGCCAGTTGGGAAGCTTGCCTGCTTACAAAGACTAGTGACAATTTTTACTCATTCACCTATTCAAACCTTCCCACGGCATGAGGGAATGTCCAGGGGCCAGAAATAAAGCTGTAAATTGTAAAGTTAAAACAACTCCATCTGCACAGGTTTCCTGCATGAAGCACTCTGGACCCTGAGGCCAAATCAGTAAAATGCTTACATTAGTCTCTCAGATATAGAGCAGATTATGTAAGACTCCCTCATGAACAGAGTAGCAATATCATATTTCCTTCACAGTAAGGTACTTTTTTTGCTAAAGATCTTTTTTTTTCTATTTATGTCTTCCTGTCTTCCCCCAAGGACTGCATTAAAGATTTATAAAGGCAAAATAGTAGAATGCTGGAGGGATTGGTATTAGTCAATACAGTCTAATGGAGGTTTAACAAAATATGACAAGTACAATCATAGAAATTGTACACAGGAGGTCGCCATTAAACCTATCAAGCCTATGCTGGTGCTACCTGGAGTGATTAACTCCTAATTCCTTTAGGCAAGAATCATTGTTAGATACAATTAACTGAGCCAATTATACACAATCATTAAAGTGCAAGTGTCAGTTATTGTTTAACAGATTTTCTATGATCCAGAAACAATAATTACACACTACTGCAGACGTTTTATTATTACAACAAAGGACTAGTGACATTTTTAGTTATTCATGAGCCAAGTGGCTAGCAGTGGAAAGGACCAAACACAGATAGGTCGTCTTGGGAAGAATACCATAATCAGCATTTTCACTCACTCACAGCTGTGTCAACAACCAGTAAAATGCTTTTACTGCAACCTGGGAGTTACAACTATTAATGTCAGGCCGCTGGATGACTGAAGTCCACCATAAAAGGTGCCTTGTGGACAATGTTGTACTGCTTGTTTATTCACACAGCTGAAATGCGAGTTAGGATCTTGAAGTATAAGACTCACAGGGAGGGAGGAAGGGCACTCAAGTGATTGGCAATGTGATCGATAGTTAGTTATATTCAATAGTGCTGCAACATTTGTCACATTACAGTAGCTCATTTCAGATAAATACTCCAGTGAAATTCAATTCATAAATGTGATAGCCTGTTCAACTGAAAGAGGGAAAAAAACATAAACTAATCAATCTACTCTCTTTTACACAAACGGTTTCAGAACAAAGCTTGGTTTGTTTCCAATTATAGACAATTATAAACATGCTGTGTAACATACCATTATTTATTACAGAATGTATTTGCTTTCTGATCACATATTAGTTCAGGGACACTAGTCTTCATTCACATTAACCCTTTCACTGGTCTACCATATTCAATAGTAAATAGGTTTAGTACTACTTAATTATTTTCAGGTAACCACCATTGAACATTTGTCTTGTGAATCACAAAAAAAATTGTCATGTAAATTATAAAGAATTTCTGAGTGCACCTGGGGTGCCTAGTTTAAATCAGTGAAGTTATGTGCTGGTGAAGGGGTCAATCATTTGAAGGTGGATACATTTTTAAAAAGAGTTTAGTTTTGTGTGAGAACTGGAGTGAAATTTCAATTATCTGAACTTAGGTGAGGAGAAAAGGATGAGAAGTTTGTTCAGAGAATCAAACAAGGAAAAAACAGTATACTTTTACTTTCAATTTGGTGACAGCCAATGACTATTTTCATGGGCTCTTTCCATTTCCCACAAAAACAACAAAACTAGTATTAGAGCACTTGGATAATCAGAGTTCAGATAACTGACATGACACTATACTATTAAAGAAAAATCTGTTTTTTTTCCTGTTATTTACTTTTACTACAAGTTAGTTTTTAATAATAGTTAACAAGATGATTACATAGGTTTATATTCTGGACATAACCCTGTGCACCAACTGGGTTTTAAAAATATGTACTTTTTGTGATAGCTGTATATCTCTTCCACTACTCATCATTGACCGCTTTTACCTTCAATAAATTATTGTTTATACAATAAAAAGGTTGTATATTATTGGTAACTAACATTAAGAATTTCCTTCAAATTAACACAAAGGGTACAAGATGGTTGTTGTCTTACATTGCCAACCTGCCTATTTTTGTAGCCAAATTCTTTAAATACAATTATATTATTCATGAGCGAGCCTAGAAAGTCCATTGTCAATCAATCTCAATTTCCATCCTGGAGCCACTCATGGTTGATTGGAACCGCTCGAGTAACAGAAGACACGAGTGAGAACATTCAGCAGCGACCAGTGCGGCAATTTATCCAGATTAACCGGATTGTTGTATGAATTAACCAGCATATTTAGAATGGGTAGGAATACAAATGAATCAAGATCGAGCGTTTTGTTCGATTTACCCAATGTCCGGAGTTAACTGGTGGATTCCACTGTATGCCAAAGCGACAGTTGGTAATTTCATGCCAAACTCAACAGAACCACCTGCTTGGTTAATATTTCTCATCTCAAGCAAGCGAGTTGATGTTTTATTTTTATAAATGTAAGAATAGTTACCAAATGCCCCGGAATGGGAATAAGGCAATGTTCAACAATTCTGGTCAACGACAATATCTTAGGACCCAAGCAGTCAAACCATTGGAACAACAACTAACATTGTCCAGCAGGGCAGCATCTCAGAGTGCAGAAAACCTTTCACTGTGTAAATACTGACCATTTTTTCTTTAAATCTATCACAATTGGTTTCAGCAGCCTTCATGATGCAACCTTATTGGAGGAAAACAATGTTAAACAGGTAAGTCTGCTAAAGGGCTTTTTATTACAGCTACTTATTTCATATTTAAAAGATTAATGCTGATGCTATTTTAAATACCACACAATACTTTGAAAATTAAGCACTAATATCAAGCCCCATCCCAGCAGATGATGTACCAACAGACAGAAATGTCCTGTTGCAAATCCTTAGACCAACAGAAAAGAGGAATGCGCAGGCGGCAGCCTTGCAATAAGAAAAAGGCAAAGTAAATCAGCATTGCAGTCAGAGTTAGTAACAACTCTATCTAATGGTTTCTTAATACATCTCTATTTACTAAGGGAAAATACAACAACAAACAACAAATTGCATTTATATAGCGCTTGTCGGGAGGGAGGACATTCCAAGGGCTGGACAAAGAGGCGTTTGCACCCGGGTTAGGATCAGAGAGGGGTGAAGGAGAAAAGATGACCAATGATGCATGCTCGAAAAGGAGGATCTTGAGATAGGCCTTCAACAACAACAAAATTACATCTGTATAGCGCCTTTCACGTCAGGAGGACGTTCCAAGGCATTGGACAGACAGTGTTTCAGAGATGTTCTGCGAATGATGTCATCAAGAGGGAGCATGTAGATATTGAAAAGTAGCAGTCGGGATTGGGGAGGATGGATGGCAGGAGGGGAAGCAGGGTGATCGAAAGCACGGTCAAAGAGGAGGGTCTTGAAGGAGGCAAGGGAGGGGGTGAGGCGGAGTGACTGCGGGGTGGAGTTCCAGAGAGTGGGGGCAGAAAAGCTGAAGGCTCGACTGCTGACTGTGGAGCGAGCAGGCAGGTTGGGGGACGTGGGGCAGGCCAGTGCCTGCGGAGGGAGTGCACAGGTTGGTGAAGTTTGAATAGGTAGCAGAGGTAGGGAGGAGCAAGGCTGTGGAGGGCTTTAAAACTGAGGACAAGGATCTTACAACTCAATTCTCTGGGAGATGGGGATCCAGTGAAGCCGGGCAAGGATGGGCTCACAAAGCTTGCTGCTATTTTCATTATTTTTCACACAACCTCTCAGGCCAAAAATAACAAAAATAACAATACTTAAATTTGATATTGTGTCTTTCATACCGGCACGATGTCTCAAAGTGCTTCACAGGTTTTACTGTATATTATAAAAACCTCTGTGAACAAACAACTGCAACAGCTCCAGAAGGTTGCAGCTGGCATTATTTTATAGCTTTGGTAGCATAGGAGTTCAAATGCCTCATACAGGGCATGTTTCACATTGCTGGATTGTCCAGAATGGGGCTTGTGCTCAGACAAAATGTTACCAGGATTGCAGTGCTTCAATTCTGCAAAGAGACTTATGATTTTTGTCCCCCCCTCACCAGAGCCTCAAAGGCAAACAGGTGAACTAATTATCAAGATTATGAAGGGTTAAGGTACAGTCTTCTGATCGACGAATTACTAACAAAAGATAACAAAAGCTTAGGAAAGAATTCTTCACTTAAATGTTGGAATGTGAAATTCTCCATCACAAACTATTGTTGAAGTACAGTCCATACATTATTTCAAAAGGGAAATAGATAAATGTTTGAGAAATATTCATGGCAGGAGAATGGGATTCAAACCCTTTGGAATGGGTTCAAGGGGAGAAAAAAAAACTTGATGAGCCGAACAGTCCATTTCTGTGTAGCTACATAGTCAATATGTGTAACATTAGAAACAATACCCTATATGCTTCAATATGAAGTTGCTTGACAGCATGTCACAATATGCTGGAAAATAACAAAAATCCGATGATTCAATTATTGGCCAACAATGGGAATCAGTGTTAATCTGGTGATAAAAGGCTGTTAGCATTTCTGAAGTTGAAGGTTACGCTCAGCAAATGGAAATGCAGTACAGTATTCATTATGAAACTTGTTTTCACTGTGTGAAGGAAATGAACTTCTGTAAAGAAGTAGCTCCACAAGAATGCAACAAATAGATAAATATGGCATGAAGCCCAAGCTTTTGGTTAAGCACTTACTAGTGCTCACAATGAACAATGAATCTAAAAAATTCTCTTCACTGCTTGAAGTCACAATAACAAGAAAAATGTGTAAAAGGGGGGAAGATTTCATCAGTAAAATTAACTACCATTTGTAAAATGAATTATTGAGCTTCCAGTAGAAGCTACTTTCAAAATCCTTAAAGAAGGGCAAGCTTGGGGGGAGTATTTTCCGTTCAACCATTCTTGCCTCTCGTTTCTCACTCAGGCCCCACCACCACAATTAAAAAATTGTACTTGTGTGTTATACAAATAGCGATGAATATTTGCATTTAGCATCTACCCTGAGGCTGCTTTGCTAATTTATGCTATGGGGAAAAAAATCCCGCATCTTTGGAATACATCAACAACAGTAGCCAAGAGTGAGAATGATTCATTGCTATTGTCTTCTTCACAACAGTATAATCAAACACATATTTAGGGAGGGAAACAGTGTTTACTGCTCAGGATTGACTGTATCAAGATACCCAAACTACGTACAACATGAAACTTCACTTGTTTTTCCTGAGTGAAAGATACAAAACAGCAAGCCAACCCACTATCACTGAAAGGTCCTGTAATTTATGTTCAGAAAGAATGATCATTTTAATGTTTTTCAGATTTAGCTTCATAATTCAAACAGTTTTTCCTTTGCTGATGCCAGACTACTCTGACAGTATAAACTTTTGAGAAATTCCCTTGGTTTAGTCAGAAGCTTCACTTCTGAGTGTGTCTGTGCTTGGCCAGCATTGGACTGAGCAAAGCCTCCAGACACATGATCCTAGTTGATGATTAATAGCTTTCTTTGTTGATTCTTGTGGGATTGCATGTTTGTCTGGATACCAGCTTGGAATACAAGCAGCTCCAAATACTTCTTTATGAAGAAGTTATTCATTTGCACACCACGAGGTAAAACAATCAATCTGCTGCTTTAAACCTAAACGGCTACACACATCATAGGGAATGTGGTACAAACTTACCTTCACTTCCAGGAAAGCTTGTGTATTTGTCAAAATGAAAACAACTTCTCCCAAAATAACAAAAAACATTGAAACAGATTAGATATTGGCTATTAATGCTTTCACATTTCTATGAGAATTTTAAATTCATGGAAATACACATCCACTTATACTGATAGAAGAATCTCTAGGATAACAAATTTGTAAAGAAACTTTATTTTTCTACTGGATGTTTGCAATGGAAAAGGTAGAAAGCTGAAAATGTATGAGGCTACTGATCCCCACCAGGCTCTACAGGTTGGCCAAACAAATGGCAGTGCATTCTTTTCTGTTGCATTTGCCTAGAATTCCTACCACTAGTAAAGTAAATTAGACGGATCAGCTTCCTTCAGACGCATAGAGTAACACTATGAGAAGTGGCTTCTCCTTTCTTTCAAGTTGGCAGCAGAGGAAATGTCAAAGCAAAGGATCATGGCTGCACCTTCAGCCTCGCTTTCCACCATTTTTACAGGAAGCAGGTGCTAGGATGCTAGGCTTTTATGCATTAGGTACAAGCCAGCAGTTTTACAATCACAGAAATTAGTAATTCAGAAGCAGCTAGTGTTACGACAAGCTCCCCCCGCCACCCCCTACTGCAGCTGAACCCAGTTTCCTGCTCTTTTCCCACACCATTTAGTAGCCTCATGAACAAATAGGGCACTACACTGTTGGGGATGCTGTTCTTCGGATGGACAATAAAAAAAGGACAGAAATTAAAAACAGTGTTCTCCTGGTGTCCATGTTACTGTTGGTCTCTCACCATAATTCTCAAAAACAGATTAATTTTTACGAGTTGTTTGGATTTGGAATGCACTGTCTGAAAGGGTGGTGGAAGCAGATTCGATAACAACTTTCGAAGTTGGGAAGGACAAATTTGCAAGGCTACGGGAGAGAGGGATTAATCTGGATAGCTCTTTTGAGAGTTGGCACAGGCACGATAGGCTGAATGGCCTCTTTTGTGCTGCATAATTCTATGAATTGGTCACTCATCTTATTGGTACCAAAGATTAGCTGCATCTGCCTGTATAACAGCCATATTTCAAGGCATTTCAACATAACTCACAATATCACATGCAAGCAATAATTATAATAAAGGTAAAATTATCCTCAACTTAAATTTTTAGATACAACATCAGATGCATCAACTTTGGGTGACTGATGACATTTTGTGTGATGAAGTATTAGTTCAATTGCAACATGAATGATTAGAATGTTTGAGAAACAGACATTTATTTTTTGAACAAGCAATCTATAGAAATCACTCTCTGAACATTTTTTTTTAAAACACAACTTCCTATTCAGGTCTCTGTGTGCTAAGAATCAATCCTAAACCATGAACATGGGAAGGAAACAACTCTCAGACCTGAACTAATACCATATTTAACCTAACTTGGATAATAAATACCACCTGGATTTACCACTTTTTGTGTTGCAACTGGATTCAACCAACGATAACTTCAGCAACAGCACTTAGAAATGTAAACTCAGTGGTTGTTTGTCAGTACAAAAATATTTAAATGAATCATATTGACTAAATAACATATTTTCAAAAATATGATGCACAATTTAATCATGGTTGTTTATCAAATAATGGAAGTTTATGCATTTCTAATTATAAAGGACACAACTTTCTGGAAGAGTTTCACATTAGAAAGTTGCAAGCAAAGACTAATGATAAATTTCTGCAGAAGACATTTCATGAGCTCATTGGATTAATTGGCTTATTATTTCAACACAGAATTTACCACAATTACTGAATATGCAGTGCTGGGAAATAGTGGCAATAACCTTAAATGACAGTAATTGTGATGGTGTAAAAATCGTGATTACCAAGAAATTTCAGGTGCTCTATTCTCTAAACATGAATTTTCAAAACATGTTTCAACAAACAACAGATTGACAAGGTCACAAGCGCTCCAGAACGCTACCCCACGTGAAGTGCGATATACAAATGAAAGTTATTGTTGTTCTTTATTATTATGAGTCAATGTGCCCAAATATGAAGCTTCATGTGCTATGATAAAGTAACTCATGCCAAAGAGTATGAAATAACAATTCTTACCCAAATATGGAATACATGGTGTCATCTTCAAACTATTAATGTAATCTCGAAGTCTCTTGTAATTGTCTTCTTTGGACATCAGATATTCTAATTTTTCAAATGTTGTTTTATCTTTTCTGCTCAAAAGCTATGGAAACAAAAGATCAAAAATGAACATGATGCAAAAGATTTTTTGATCATACTTTGAACTTAAAAAAAGGGACAGACTTCTGTGTCACAACGATGACCAGCAGTCGCTTCCTGAGCACTGATACATTCAGACAATGCTGGTAACTTCATTTGCTGTATTGTAAATCAAGGTAAAACAAATGTTGATATTATCCATCAAAATTAAAATAATCAAAACTAGTCAGGTCTATTGAATCAGTACCACATCAGAGAATTATATAAAAACTTACAAGTTATGGTATTTAAAAGTAAAGCCATAGAGTGGATAGAACAATGACTGAGGAACAGATTTTACATTATGGGAATTAATGGATATTTCTGAGACTGACATGTTCATGACATCAGGGCCTGGATGAGTGCAAACTTCCTACAACTGAATGTGGACGCGATGGAAGCCATACTCCTTGGCTCCTGTCAACAACTTCACTCCTGCAGATCTGAACTCCTCAACCTCCCTGGGCTCCCCCTCACCGAACCAGTGTGCAATCGAGGCGCACTGGTTCGGTGAGTGTGAGGTTTGTAGTTTGATGAGCCATTGGAAGAAAACAGCTGGTTTGCTACCAGGGAATTAATAAATGGAACTTGTCCTCCAATAACAATCATAATTATCCAGCGGTAATTTTACACCAGGTTTCATTGCTTGAAGGGGTTGTTTAAAGTTCATGTTGTTGGATGAGACCAGAATATTCATTTGACCACAGCTTTGTGAATTTTGGGAGTGCAGCATGCACTTCATGGAAAATTTGCAATTTTTTTAAATTTCAGCATTCTCTTGTATGCTTTGATTCTACTGTGCGTTTTTAGTTTGGATGGTCACTGTTTGAGGAGGAGTGTTACATAAACAACTGGGTTGTTTCTAGATCATCCCCTGCACCTGAAAGTCTGTTCATTAAATTAGCAGCAAATCTGTAAAGTAAACTCTTTTGTAATTAGAAAAATCCATTCAGTAGTCTTATCAAGGTTTGCATTTGGACATGAGCGAACACCGTGACACCAAATTAACCAACAGCTAGTTCGTTACACAAAAACAACTTACACTTATATAGCGTCCTCCATGCAAGGTAGTGTCTCAGGGCGCTTTAAAGTGCCGGAGCCTGACTCTGAGCCGGGGGAAGGGGGAGGTGGCCAGTCGAACAGGAAAGTTTTCAGGCAGGACTTGAAAGAGGAAAAAAAGGAAGCAAGGTGGAGGGAGTGAGGGAGAGTGTTCCAGAGTTTTGGGTCGTAGTGGCTGAAAGCATGACCTCCGATGGCGGGGCAGAGGGTGCAAGGGACGAGCAAGAGTCCGGTGCCAGTCGAGCGTAGGCGCCGGGTGGTGGAGTGGGGAGTGAGGTAGGGAGGTGCCTGGGAGTGAATGGATTTGAACACGAGAGTGAGGATCTCTTATACTATACATTATATATCAATCTTACCAACTCTATACTTTGAAATTTGAGTGTTTAAGAATATGAGACAGCACAATAGGCTTCACTCTCATTTGTTCACAAGGCTGCCCTTTATTCATTGTTCATTCCACTGTACTCAAGAGTATAATCTACAGTGTTACAAAGTCATGTTACCTCCCTACTAATAGACATTGTCAACCTCTCTCTCTTATTGGCTCCCGTCAGCGCCTCCTCACCTCAGGTGCTGACAGTATCACCATCCATGGTTGTACACTCGACCTTGCTAAGCCAGTCCGGAACCTTGGGATCTTGTTCGACCTTCAACTATCCTTTCTACCCCACATCTGCGCCATGACCCGTTCTGCCTTCCCCCACCTCCGTAACATTGCCCGGCTCCGACACTGTCTCACACCGCAGGCCACCGAAACCCTCATACATGCCTTTATTACATCGAGGCTCGACTATGCAAACTCACTGCTTGTCGGCCTCCCCAACTCCACCCTCCACAGGCTGCAGAGCATTCAGAACTCTGCAGCCCGTGTCCTCTCCCGCACTAGATTCCATGATCCTATCATCCCCATCCTCGCCCAACTCCACTGGCTTCCCATCACACAGAGGATACAGTTCAAGATCCTGGTCCTCACCTTCAAAGCCCTCCATGGACTTGCTCCCCCTACCTCTCCGACCTCCTAACCCCCGACCATCCTGTTCACGTGCTCTGCTCAGCGGGCTCTGGCCTGCTTCACGTCCCCCGCCTTGCTAGCCCCACTATCGGAGGGCGGGCCTTCCGTCACTCTGCACCCACCCTCTGGAATTCCATCCCGCAATCCCTCCGTCTCGCCCCCTCCCTCACCACCTTCAAAACCCACCTCAAAAACCTACTCTTTGTCCGTGCTTTCGATCTCGCTGCTTCCTCCCTTTGCCCTCACCCCTCTCCCACCCCGACCCTCAGCACAGGTCCGTAACTCTGTCTATCGAGCGCCTTGGGACATCCTCCCGACGTGAAAGGCGCTATACAAATGTAATTTTGTTGTTGTTCACCAGCACAGTTCCCAACCTGTTAAAAATAGCCATCATCAACCGTACCTTCAAAAAACCTTCCCTTGACCCATCTCTGTTCTCTAACTATATCCTATCTCTTCCAAGATCCTGGAATGAGTCACTGTTTCTCTCTTTCCTTTCCTGCCACTCTCTTTATGAACCCCTCCAATCTGGTTTCCGTGCTACTTAGCCTTCTCCCATCAACTCTACTTTGTATCCACTAACAACTTCTCCTCCAGCCCTCCAGTCACATGTGGCGGTCCTCAGGGTCCTTGGTCCTCTCCTCTTTAATATTTACATGCTCCCGCTCAGAAGTATCAACTGCAGATATGGGGTTAACTTCCACATAATAATAATAATTGCATGCAGATGACACCCAACTCTCTCGCTCTGTCAGACGTCAAGTCCTAGATAAGAGAAAACTTTTTCCAGTTGAATGCTGACAAGTCATGCTTGGCTCCCATCAGCGCCTCCTCACCTCAGACACTTATTCAAGAATGAAATCTAAACCTCACCGAGCCTGTACGAAAGCTTGGTGTCTTGTGCAACGCTCAACTGCCCTTTAAACTGTACATCCGTGCCATGATCCATTCTGCATTCCCGTACCTCCTCAGCTGGCTCCACTTCGCCATCCCTCAAGTTAAAAATCCTCGTCCTCACTTTTAAAGCCCTACGCAGGCTTCCCCTCCCGACCTCTGCGACCTGCTAAAACCTTACCCACCTTCACCGGTCCGTCTGCTTGCAGGGCACCTGTTCAACACACACCCCCCTGCTCATCCCACCATCGGTATTCGGGCCTTCAGCCTTTCTGCCCCCACCCTCTGAACTCTCCGCCTAACCCCTTCCCTTGCCTTCTTTAATAATGATAATAATCGTTGCATTTAATGTAGCACTTTATCACGTCTGAGATGTCTCAAAGTGCTACACAGAATATACTGTAAAGTGAACTGACTGTATATTTTGTGGGGGAAACACAGCAGCCAATTGAGCACAGCAGTGTCCCACAGTCATTGATTGAAGTAAACAATTTCATTTTTATTTAGAAGGGATTATTACTCTCGGAAAGCGATCCGCAAATCAACTAACAACCGGGTTCCTATTTACTGCTAGGTAAACAGTGGCGGGTAGATTAAGGAAACTTGCCTAAGGTTTTGTTCCATCTCAAGACCTTCCTTTTTGACCATGACTTCGGTTATCCTCCCACCTGAACCCCCTTGCCCTCCATCCCTCTTGATCCCAACCCCCAGCGTGGGTGCAAACCCTCGATTGTCTAGCACCTTGGGGCATCCTCTCGACGTGAAAGACGCTATACAAATGCAATTTGTTGTTGTTGTTAATGCACAGTCCATATAATGTCCATAATAAAATGCAATTGAACCTTTTGTAAACCACCAAACTAACTGCACTGCAGATTCAGCCCATAGATTACAATACAGTAGCATGTAATGTAGTTAAGAGCGTTTCTTATAATTGCCACACCTGACAAAGCTTCTCCTCGTTAATTCGCAGTTGGCTATTACAGTTCAAGTAATCTTGTAAAACATAAAACTGAAGTTCCACTTTCTGAATAGATAGCTAAACAGTGTATTGGATCAAAATTGCGCTGAAAAATATGGTACAAACAAAATAAGCCTCTTATTTTGCAGAAGAATGGCAATAAAGTTCTGGCACTTAGAAATACCTGAACATATTACATGCAAGTTTGAGACTTCTGACAAACCATGTCTTCATACATGTAAATGTCTTCAAATATGTCAGCAAATCACCATGAGAAACAAGTGTTAAAAGTTAAGCTTGCACATGTTTCGCAATTTTAGTGAGAATATCATTAATCACACTTGCCTGGAGGAAATCTAAGAATGACAAGTCTCTAAACTGCAGCACAATTAATCTCTCTAAATGAGACCAGAATCATGAGTTGCTTTAAGAAGTTATTAGGAGACAGAGTAGTTGCAAACCATGAGAACCTAATGTGTCACTGCAAATCTCCTTGAGAAACAGTTTTCCCCCATAATTAGAACCATCTCACAAAGAATCATAGAATCTTACAGCACAGGAGGCCATTTGGGCCGTCGTGCCTGTGCTGGCTCTTTGAAAGAGTTACCAACTAGTCCCACTACCGCGCTCTTACACATAGCCCTGCAAATTTTTCCTTTTCAAATGCCTGTCCAATTTCCTTTTAAATATCTATCCAATTCCTTATATAATATACTGTATGAAAATCTGTCCTAGTAAAATATCAAAACTTTCAACACTTTCATTATTTATCATCCACAATGTCCCCCTTATCAGGCAATATTTATGAATCCAAAGACCATATATGACTCATGGTCCTAGCCTCAAGATTATTGTCGTAAAATTCAATACGGTGCAGATTTTTTGGAAAAACTGGTGTTAATTCTGGTACAAATGTTTGCAGTTTTTCGTGTACTGCAATAAAACAGTTTCCAATTAACAAGTTAAAAAAAATTCTGCACTCTTACATTTTAAGGCAATGATCTTAAGACAATAAGACATTTTGGATCTTGGTAGGGAAGTGCCAGGGAGTGAATGGATTTGAACACGAGAGTGTGGATCTTGAAGCAGTAAGCAGCAGGAAGCTTGTTAGTGTTCACAATATCATGTTGTTTTAGCTGGTTAAACTCTATAAATAGCCGAATGCACTCAAGTCCATAAGCTTGTGTTAATAGTGGTGTAGAAGAGTGAAGGGTAGTTTTTTAAACTATGTTTTAGTGTTGATTGTGGTTTGACCCTCTACTGGAGGCCCTTTGACTGCAGTCAAAAGTTGGGTAGGATGTCCATGGAAAGTCCATGGATTTTCAACTTCCCTGGAAAGGCCTGAGTGGCCTCACTGGGAGAGAAACATTGCTGAATAGTGTAAGGAAGGTGGAATGGCCCTGGATGCTTGATTTAAAATGCTGACATCACACTAAACCTCTGAATTAAAGCCAGGGATCAAAATTCCAAATTCATTAATGTGAGCATCTCACTAATAATGGCAGAATTTGCCTTTAATAGTTAGCTTCCATAATAGATATGATGTGGCTTCAATGTGAGATGCTGTGTGTTAAAGAGGCTGTGTACAAGAGAGATGTGTGAGAGTGAAAGGGGGCTGCAAGAGAAAGAAAGAAAATGGGGCTGTGTGTGAGAATTGGGTAGCTGTGTGAGAGTAAGAGAGAGAGAAAGAGAAAGAGATTAAGTATATGAGGGCTAGAGATAGGGGCTGTAAGAGAGGGGGGCTGTGTGTGTGTGAGAGAAAGAGAGAGAGAGACAGTGTGTGTGAGCGCACGTGCAAGGAGCCATAAATACAACAAAAAGATTACATTTGTATAGCGCCTTTCACGTCAGGAGGACAAGATCAGAAAGATTAGATTAATAACATCTAAAAGGGAGTTTAAGGAGGAAGTGGTGAGAATGCAAAAATTGTGGTTAAAAAACAGCTTCAGCTTGTATTTAAGAGAAAATTTGATGCATACTAGAGAAAGAAGGGAATAGAGGGATATAGGAGAGATGAATAGGAAGTGGAGGCTCATTTAGCTTATAAACAATGGAACAGACCAGGTGGACCAAATGGCCTTGTTCCATGCTGCATAATTCTATGAATTAAATCATAGCAGTTAAGGTAGTAAAGAAGAAGATACAAGATAAATTAAATAAAATAAATTAAGCTTAAATAAGGCAAAGCACCAGGTCCTGATCGACTACATCCAAGGATCCTTTAAAAATAGCACGGAGAATATAGCCAAGGCACTTTCAGCAGAGAAAGAAATCATATCAGATAACTGGAGGGTGGCAGATATAATTCCTATTTTTAAAAAGGAGATAGAGCTAATCCAAAAAAACTAGAGCCTACACAAAGTTTATTTTAACATCTGTGGCTGGCAAGGTATTGGGAGTCTACAATAAAGTATCATACAGCATGGATTTAGGAAAGGAAGATCATGTTTTCCTTTGAAACCAAAGGAAACTGCTGTTTTAACTCAGATCTATGTTAAATTGGTAAGCAACTGTTATGTATAGTTTCTAAAATATGTTTCAAATCACAATGAAGGTAAGGACCAATTCAATGGTCTGCATAGCACTCACCGCCCATGTTTTTGTAAGTCTGAAGATAGGTGCACTCTGCAATCCAGACACCACAGCCATTAGTGCATGTAGGTTATTCAATTCATACAATTTCTACAATGAAAATAAAGTACATTAACCACAAGAAACACGACTAACCAGGCATTATTTTAGGGTAAGCAGCAAGCAAAACATATCATCAAGAAAGCAAGCTACTTACCTTTGCAGTTTTAATATAGTGGCTCAAAACTTCTGCTCTTATTTTTAGTGTTTGTGCGGTAAGGATCTCTCTGACAACCCAAAAGCTCACCTGTAGGTTAAAGCAATATAGTTGAAGCAATATAAAGTTGTTTCATCTTAATAGAAATAAGTTTCAATTTACTCTTCTGAAGAACACTTTCTATTTCCCTCCTCAACTCGCTCTGATTCTTTCCCTCTCTACCCCAATCTTTTGCTCCCCACCCACCCCGGGCAGCCTCTCTCTCTCTCTTCCCTGCCAGTCTCCCTCTCACCCACCTCCCACAAAATCTCTCTTTCAGCATTCTCCAGTAAGTCTCCAGCCCTTCCCCTTTCCAATCTTCTTCTCTCTCTCTCCGTGCCAGTCTCCCTCCCATCTTTCCCCAAGCCAGTCTCCCGCTCTTTCTCACTCACCTCCCACCAGCCTCTCTCCCTCTCTCACCCACCCTACTCCCCTCCACTCTCTCGATAAACACTCTTCTATTGAAGATGTAAACCCATAGTCGGACCACTGCCTTTATACTGTCAGATATGCTGATTGATCATATTTCAACCAATGTAAAGTACTGTATTCTGCATAAAAAAACAGGTCAGAAACGGTGCTGAACGAACACAAGGGATGACCATGCTGGGTAATGGATCACTTTCCATCCAGTTTGTTTCAACATTAACTATACGATGCATAAAACTCAATCTATACTTATCAATGTGCTTAACCAGGTACCTAAATGCAGCAGCCCCTGCAATATTTCCAGTTACAAAGCAAGTCACTAATGGAGAAGCCTCCTGATGAGTGCCTGTAAATTCCAATATGGCCAGTTCTGTGCAGTGTCCATTATAAATTAGATTAAGACTGCTACCAAGCTCATTTCACTCCGAGTCTTTCAGATCATCGGTCAAGCTGAATTTTAATCCAAAACTCAGCAATGAGTCACACTACCACACAATCCACTGAAACAATGTTTTGCTGTATTGGAAAAAAAGTTTATTTACCTCTTTTCCTGAAACATACCTTGAAACTAATTTGACAACTTTCTGACAGCAGCCATATGGCACAACAAAATTATGATGATAAAAAACAGAATATTTTCCGCTAGAATTCTGAGTATAGCAAAATAAAAATACATCACCATAATTCAAATCACTGCTGCGATTTGCCAAAGCATGCTAGAACAACAAATTTTAGTTCACAATTAATAACAGCAAGAATCACAGCAAAATGTTAGCACTTTGCAGGTTAAGTGCAAAGTCAAACCTCTGAATGTTTCACAACCTGGCACGGATGAAAAACTTGCCAGAGGCAAATCTTTACCTCAGCAACCAAAAATTGAAGCGCAATTTTCAGTGAGCTTTCTTAAGGGATGCAAGCACGTCTCTCAAGTGATATTTTCTGCACTGCCGATGCAGAAATAGCAAAGAAATAGTTCAATGCTTCTCAAAACACATGTGTAAACCAAATAAACACTCCTCAGCAATAAATAAATAATATTGAAATATGTCTTTAGGTTGTGTCTTTTAGTGACCAAACTGTTTCAAGCAGGAGCAATTTTGTAAACCTAGTCGATGCGCAATCTAAAATCAACCTCAACAGCAAGTTGCATTTATATATTGCCTTTCAAGTTGGGGTGACATCCCAAGGTGCTGGACAGTGAAGCATTGCACCTGAGTTGGGGTTTGCAATCAAAAGGGATTGCAACTAAGCGGGATGTGGGTATGATGACTGAATGTATGGTGAAAGAGGAAGGTCTTGAGACGGGCCTTGAGAGAGGCAAGGGAGGGGGCAAGGCAAAAGAATGGGGTACATGGATCAAGCCAGTGTTCACCGAGTGGAGGGTGCTTGAAGATTGGTAAGGTGTTAGTAGGACGCAGAGTTAGGGAGGAGCAAGACTGTGGAGGCTTTGAAAGTGAGTACGAGGATCTTAAACTCGATCCTCTGGTGTTTGGGGAGTCAGTGATGCTGGGTGTGGATGGTATTGATCAGCTCACAGATCTTGGAGTGAGAGAGAACATGAGCTGCAGAATTCTGAATAATCTGTAACCTATGGAGGGAAGAGTTGAGAGCCTGGTCACAAATGGGCAGAATGTCATTTTAACTTTTGACTAAGGCAGTCTATACTGTGGGCTGCAGGAGAGGAAAGAGAAAAGCTGAAAAGCAAAGACTCGTTTCAGGACCTTGGAAAAAAAAGAAAGGTGAGAGATGGGATGGTAGTTTGAGAATAGAGATGAGTCAAGGGCAACAAAGTGGAGCTGGAACATAAGGAGAGGGATAGGGATGGCGTTAATGGGCTTCATTTGGGAAACGATATAGGTGAGAGATGAGGGAGAGACAGGGTCAAGTGGAGGGAGGGATAGGTGGAGAATGGCTTTCAGGAGTAATACCTGAATCACCATACCCACACGCACATCCTTATAATAATAATAAGCCTTCCATTTGATATAATGCCTTATCATGTCTTCCGAGGTCTCAAAGCGCTTCACAGAATATACGGTAAAGTGTGTTTTGTGGGCGCAACACGTCAGTCAATTGAGCACAGCAGTGTCCCACAAACAGTCTTGGATTGAGTAACCAAATTATTATTATTATTATTATTTTTAAAGAGATTATTAACCCTGGAAAAGCTTTGATGTTTCCTCTGACGCTTGAGGTTGGGGTTTGGAGTTGGAGGTTCCTCTAAGGTTTTGAGGTTGGAGTTGGGGTCTCTCTCTCTCTAGGTGTGGGGCTGCTTCTCTTTGGATGAAACTTCCGTCCTTGCCCTGATGTGATTTGCAAATACTAAAAACAGTTATAAATTAAACAGTAACCATTATTTATTCTCCTTCTTTTCCTAAGCACTTATATATTGCTGAGAAAAGCAGTGAACTTACTGGGACGAGAGACAAGTTAGGAGAAGTAACTGTACATCGTTCAATTAGTTTCAGCAGTACCCAACATTTATTTTGGATAACTTTCATGTAATAGGCACAGGACAATTTCCTGTTTTACAAAATTTGCTGAACAAGCAGTCTTCCTTCACTGATTTAATTTGTAATTTAAAATTCTTTTCTCCATTTATCCTTATTCTTTTCCCTCTCATTTTACAAATGTATATGACCTACTTTTAATTGTGTAATGAGAAAGGTTTCCTACTGGATTTTGAATGAAACTAATTTCAGATTATTGCTGCAGTATTCACAGAATTGTTGCATTAATATTCCTACCTAGTACTGACATTGCTCACTGACTACACAGATGTGAGATTCTCAGCTGTAAAACTCATCAGTACTGGAGGTTTTCTGGCAAAACTACAACAGCAATATAATCTTCAAATGTGATCTAGGGCATCTTAAATTTGAGAACTACCACAGCAGTTATTTTTTTTTAAAAAAATCAATCAAATAAATGGGAAACCTGCCAACAAGCTGGCTTGAAGCCTATGAACCTTGTCCCCAGTTCCACCATTTTTGATTTTGGTCTCAAAGAGCACTCTATTTGAAAGGGTATTCTGTAAAGTAGATAATTAATATTTTTGCAAATCTCTATACCTTTTGAGACAGCATAAAGGTCTAAAAAGAGAAGTTAGTCCTCAAAATTTAACACCTACTAATCCTATTAATTTTAAATTTTATTTTTGCCAACTAGATGATTGTATTTTAGTCATTTCAATTTTATTTTAATCATTTTGTACAGCTCCTCAATTCTCTGCTACTACTTTTTAAAGATTGTAATTGTAGATTTGTAAATTTGCCATTATATTTTCTCATCTCACAACACCTACTGCCTTTGCTTGGAACACAAAATGATACAGAGTGAAGCTGCTTAACACAGTCAAAGGCTTTGCTGATCTTAGTTTTCTTCAATAAACATTCTATACGGTGGTGCGGAAACAGGTCGTCTCTTCCTCCCTCCCCAAAGAACTTCGATAAGAGTGCCAAAATTCTCCTCCTGGAAAAACAAGAGTCAGAAACCCAGAATACAAAGAAAGCCAGGCTGGAGTGGGATTTGAACTTGGATCACTCTGCTGGACTCCCTACTACTAATAATGACCATTAAAGTGTTTTAGATTATTCTTACAGATGCTAGGTAATGGAAAATATTTCTGCTTTCCAAATGCCAAAGGAAATTCAGTACTCAAAGGATTTTGTAGCAAAACTTCCTATAACAGATTTATGATTTACTTACAATGATAAATTCAACACCAGTCAAAAATTGCAAAGGAAAAGTATATCCTTTTGTAATTTTCTGCTCAGAAGTTGTCAGCCATTTCATGTCCTGTTGGCACATTTTACGACCTAGCCCTCCCTGAGCAGGTTTTGTCAAAGTAATTTTCACGCATCTTAAAAGATTAAGGTTTTGTCTTAATTTTTTCCTTTCTCTCCCTCTTTCAAGTTTTTCCTCCACACTATTCTGAAACAAAGAGTCAGGTCAGCTGACATTCCTCCAATCTCTCTTCTTATCCTGCTCTTTAACAGACTGTTGGAAGGTGAACAAGAGAAGCACAAACTGACTACTCTCCAATTTTCCTTTTATTCTTAGCTCCTCTTGATACAACCTGACATTTTGGAAATTTGCCACATGGAGAAATGTGCATGTGAATCCATTCTACTATACTGCCGTTTGAATCCATCTATTCTATTATTTTGTGCCATAAAACTAATACATCAGCATGCTGCACCAATAAGCAGCCCACTTAAACATAAAGACCATTTGTGGCCTCTTTCTGTGCTGATTGTGGCAGAGTGTCTGTTCTAATTGCACCCTGTTTTTTCTAAGCTGCGTGTTATTAATCTTATTTTCCACCACTCTTCCTGGTTTTGTTAAATATGCTGACTGCTTGCTTGTTGAATTTTTATTTCACTTATTCTAGAAAGCCACTTATTAATTAAATACCTTTTTCAAGAACTTTTGAAAAAATTAACTGCAGCTTCATTAACTCAGAAATGATTACAATGCAGAACTGACATCCCCATAAATAATCATTTAAAAGCAGGATTGAAAAGAAAAATGTAAATGCCAATTTAGAAACCTAACTATGTACATGACTGGAAAGATCATTGTGGTTCATCTGGGAAACGTAATGGGGAAAAAAATTATCTCTCAAAGCCCTCAATTGATTTCTTCACCATAAAAACAATTACATTTCCTTTTTTTTGTAAATTTGTTAGCACAATGTGTCTCCGCTGCTTCACCTATTCCACATAATTACCTGTGTAAAATTAATTCTCAACTCTAACTTTCCCTCTTCTAAACTTGAGCCTGTGTTCCCGTGGTATATATATTTCAACCATGATTTGATATATTAACATACTGATGTCAGCTTTGAATTTAAATATCCTCGATGTGTAGGCGCTTTCAATTCTGTTCTCAGTACCAAAGTCCATGAGGCTGGTGCCACACATTTAGACTTGTAAGTCAAAGAATCGACCTCTTGACTACTTTTTGTAGGAAACTAAATGTACTGATAAGGTGGATTCATTATTAGGGTTGTCGAAGTATACAGTTTTAAATCCTTAATGCTTAATATTCCTTGCATTTGATACAGCATTTTTCACATCAGGAGGCTGTCTCAAAGTGCTTACCAGGATTCTTTGCAAAGTGTAGTCTCTGTGTATTTTTTTAATTGGTAGACCAGGCAGCCAATTTGCACGCATCAATATCCCACAAACTGCCATGAAGTGAATGACTAATTTTATCTGGGGAATTGTTGGCCATGACATTGGGAGAAACTCCCTTCTCTTTTTGAATAGTGCCACGGGATCTTTAACTTTCACCTGAATGGGCAGAAGGAACCTCAATTTAATGTAACCCCTGAAAGCTGGCACCTCCGATAATGCAGCACTCCACTGGAGAATCAGCATAGACTGGATGGTTTCTAAGTATCAGTATGGGGCTGGAATCCACAACCAACTGAATCAGAGGTAAAAGTGCTACTAACTGACATATTTGGAACTTTAATTGAATCCCCGAAACCATAAGATCCATTTATAAGATCTATTCAGTCAATCTGCTCCCCATTACAGTATTTGCATCTCCGCTACACAAGTAGGAGCATTTCCTATGCATTCTGAGTGGCTTGCAGATGTTGTTTTGGAACATTCCCTGGAATGATATAGACTTGCATTTAAATTTCTAAACAGACTGAATCTTGGAATCCGTGACTGCCTGTCCGCAGCTACAATGATTTTGTTTACTGATTAGCAATTGGCGTTGACATAAATTGTTAAGAAAACATTATAAAAATTGTTGGTACCAGTAATACTGTATGTAGTCTACTATTAAACACTGTTGAGTAAAAGCTTACAACAACTTATATAACTTGCACTTATATCCAGCCCTCCACGCAGGGTGGCTTGTCATGCCAAGACTTTTAAGTCATTCAGTGTTGTACAATTTAATGGGTAATTATAAAAAATAAGCTCTTGTATTTACATAGTCTCTTTCTCTTGGATTTCCTGGGCAGTAATTTACAGCAGTCTGCAAACTGCAATTATCGTATAACTTTGGAAAAAACAATACATTTATTGGCAACATTTTAGATGGTTGAAGAATTATCCATTCTTGGAATAAATATGTTCCTTTCCATCCATTGAGTAATCTCAGATTAAAAAAAAAATCCTTGCATTTGATATAGCACCTTATCACCTCATTGAGACATCTAAAAGTGTTTCACAGAATATACAGTAAAGTAGAGGGACTGTATATTTTGTGGGCGAAACGTGGCAGCCAATTGTGCACATCAGTGGTCCACAAACAGTCATGGACTGAGAGATCAAATTATTTTATTTATTGAGTTATTGTTTTGAAAGGATTAATATTATTATTAGATACAAAAGGAGACAAGTTGTTAGGAGAACCTGATCCTTTTCCAACAGAACCAAAAGAGATGTGGTAAGTGGACTGCTGACTAAACTCAAGTCATGCCTCTGCCACGTTGCTCGCTTCAACAACAAAATTACATTTGTATGGCGCCTTTCACGTCAGGAGGACGTCCCAAGGCGCTGGACAATCAGTGTTTCGGATGTGTTCTGCAGATGATGTCACCAAGAGGGAGCATATAGATATTGAAAAGGAGTGGACCAAGGACAGAGGAACTCAGCACAAAATGGTGCAGGGGCAAGAGGAGAAGACATTTGTGGAGATGAACTGGCAACGGTGGGAGAGGTAGAATTTGAACCATTCATGGCCAGAACCATGAAGGTTGAGGCGAGGAGAGGCGGTGGAGGAGGATAGAGTGGTCAATGGTATCGAAGGCAGCAAAAAGGTCAAGGAGGATGAGGAGACAGAGGCAGCCCTGGTCGCAGATGGACAAAATGTAATTTGTCGCTTTGATCAAAGCTGTTTCTGTTCTGTGGGTGGTACGGAAACCTGATTGGAGGGGCTCAGCATAAAGTATACATCTTGGGTCGTCCCTTTCATTATCATCATCACCATTCCTATCCCAGGACTTGGGAGAACTCAAAATAAACATAACCTCAAGCAGGCAACTTTGGTTCTCTTCCACTGGAAGCAATGGAACAGTCCAATTTCCATCACTCCCTTTATTGAGGACCAATTTGTTTTTTCATGAAACTTTATTCTACTTTGTGAATCTCATCAAATCATCACTTTCCACTAAATGACATTTGACAACTTTTGTTGTTGAGATTGAGAATCATAAAAGTAATTGAAGGAATAAAGAATTTTACATTGAATATTAAAAATCTATTTCTCTTTTCCACATATCAAAGGATATCGAAGGATAAGACACCTTATCGTTCAGCAAAGCTGGTATAACTTTGTAAAACTCGGTATCTTTTCCTTATCTATATGTTCCCTCTGGGCGATGTCATTCGCAGACAAGGGGTAAACCTCCACACGTATGCGGATGACACACAAATCTAGTTTACCTCCTCCTGTTCCAAATCCAGGTCCACTGATGTTCTATCAGCTTGTCTGGCAGACATCAAGGCCTGGGTGAGTGTAAACTTCCTGCAGCTGAATATGGACAAGCCGAAAGGCATACTTCTTGGCTCCTGTCAATGTCTTCACTCCTGTGGATCTAAACTCCTCAACGTCCCTGGGCTCTCCCTCAGACTCACCAAACCAGTGCACAACCTAGGGGTCCGGTTCGAGCCCCAACTGTCCTTCCTCTCTCCCTCACATCCAGCCCATGACCAGGACAGCTTTCTTCCACCTCCGTCACATAACCCTGCCTCTGACTGTACCTCACCCCAAATGCAGCCGAAACCTTCGTGCATGCGTTTATCACCTCCTGCTTGGATAACTCCAATGCACTTCTCGCCGGTCTCCCCAGCTCCACCATTCACAAGATCCAGCTCATTCAAAACTCTGCTGCCCGCATACTGACCTGAACCAAACTCCGTACCCACATCTCACCAATTCTGGCCAGACTCCACTGGCTCCCCATCACCGAACGGATCGACTTCAATATCCTGACTCCTGTGTTCAAATCCATTCACTACTTCTCTGACTTCTCACTCCCAATCCACCACCGGGTGCTCGACTGGCGCCGGCTTCCTGCTCGTCCCTCGCACCATCTGCCCCACCAACGGAGGTCATGCTTTCAGCCACTACGTCCCAAAACTCTGGAACACTCTCCCTCAATCCGCCTTGCTCCCTCTCTCTCCTCTTTCAAGTCCCGCCTGAAGACTTTCCTGTTCAACTATGTTTACGGCCACTTCCCCACTCCCCCCAACTCGAAGTCAGGCTCCAGCACTGTTAAGCGCTCTGAGACGCTACCCTGCGTGGAGGGTGCTATTTCAGTGCAAATTGTTGTTGTTGTATCTCCCACAAAAATTTTTAAAGCATGATGGCTCCATCTGAAACTCTGCTACAGTATTCAGGTTTCAGTATTTTTAACTCCTAGTAAAGACACATTTACTCGTCTGACAATTCTGCTGAACAGCCTTTACATGGCAAATAATAATACTGTAATTACTTCACAAACATGTTCCGCTGCACTGATGCCCACACGTGAGATGTTCCCAGAGTGCAGCACAGTTTGGACAATGTTCTAAATGGAAGCTTTTATGAACATTTTCCATCAATCCACTATCAACACACATTTGGAAACACTTATAGTACAACACTTTTTCACCAGTTGTAAAGGGAGACAATTTGAAATGTGATAGTCAATCATCCATTACTTTACAAGAGTCCCTGTTAATACTCACATGATTAAATCTTCTTGTAAAAGCTACAACGTTTGGTGCCAGACTGTGCTTTTCTTTTTTGTTCCAGCCACAACTAGAGAGCTCCTGAAATAAAGATCGATAGGATGTTAGAAATCAATGATTTTTATTCACAAATAAAGACATTTTCAAACTTGACATTTATTCAGTAGCTTCTTCAGCACACCAAAAAGGCCCAAAAACATTCAAATTGTAAATATTTGATAATCGGTAATAACTTTGAACTATAAAGTTTAAAAAATTCACTCTTGTGTTTAAATCCTGGAAGGTAGTATTTGGGAATTGCGTGATGTGCTTTTCAGCCATGTTACTCGTGCAAAAAAGGTATAAGTGCAGAACTATGTTTTGTATGTTTTTACTACATATAATAGGGTTTTAGAATTCACACTCCAGTAAGGATTAAGCCACAATCACTTAGGAAGTATTTTTAAAATGCTTTTGATAGCAAGTAAACATAGCTTTCATAGAAACAAAAATTACCGTTCAGAAAGCCACCACTTTGTCTACCAAGCTTGTTCTGGTACTCTCTACCCCAAGACCTCTCTGCACTACTGACCCATTCTTTTGCTCTTTTTTCATATTGCCCACCATTTTAGCAATGATGGCAAATATGCAGAAACATAGCTATGCCATGGCCCCACTTTGTACTTGCAGGAACTGGGTCAATGGTGCAGGCATATTTCACTGCAGAAGTCAGTACCACAAGTTGGGTGGAGGGGATGAGAAATAGAAATTGAGACAATGAGACATAAAGCTCACTAAAATGGCTTTGTCCCAAAATAACTAGTGCTGTTCGTGGACTATACTGGTCAGAGACAGGCTCTCCTATCAAAGGTACAGCCCAGCTCTGGGATAACATCAATTGATCTACTGACTTGCAAAATTTAGAAAGTTTTCTATCGGGTGTGAATAGCTTCCGGAGAGTAGACAAGTTACATGATTAAGATTTTCCCAGACAGGACAAGCTCTTGACGGAAGGCTAGGTTGGGTGGCTGCACTTAATGAATGGGCTCATGTCTGCAACTGTATCAAAGATGAGGATCTGATTGTGGAAACCCTTGACAGGCACCTCAATGATGACTTTACCACAAAAGCCGTTGACTTGTATTAATACCTCAAAAAGTTACGTTGAGTTCTGGATTCAGGAAGGGATGGAAGCTTTTATCCTCAATGTACTTAAGGCCATCAGTCACATGCATGGGTAGTACAGGGCATTGTGCCAGCCAAAGTCCTAAACCTGCCTCAGCGGAATCTTTACCATTGAAATGAAGACTCAAAAATCTAGTCTCCCATTTGTTAATTCCCTGGGGTGCAAAAAATCTGTGTTCAGGCTTTTCCCTTCTCTGGAACAGATCCATATAGGAACAGATCCATTCAGGAAACATGGAACTGTCAGGGACCATCAATTATATTTTCATGGTTAGCAAGTAGTTCAAGGGCATATAGACCCAATTACAAATGGTGCCTATGCAGTATCTCTGATTTTTGATGAGGGTAAAGTCAAGAGTGGACCAGAGTAACCTTATTTGGGCAACGGTAGTCTTATAGGGGTCTAACCGCTGGCTTGTGGAATAAGTTCATTCTTCAAAAATTGCATAACAGTGAGCGTGGAAGGACACCTCAATTATAGGTTCGTTGTTAGAGGACAATGTAGGCACAATGTTTTTCTGATGTCTGCAGCTCCTTATGAGTGACTGGAAAGTGTCAAGGTTGCAGCTGCAAAGGTGGGATCTCTACTTACTTTCCAAAGTTCACCAACTACATAGCATGTTATGTTGTTCAGTGTGGCAAATCAATCAAAGTAGTTGTGAATGAATGGCTTGGCAGATCCTATCTTCTCAAATGGCACTGTTCAACATTACTAAGAAACTTCAGACTACTGTCAAGTTACTTCCTGCATTAAGACACCTGCCCTTGACAGACTCTGGTAAGATACTGATCCTGTGGTGAGTGGACTTGACAGCAGAACAGGACATAGCCATATTTTTCAAGAAAATACATCACTGGTACAGATGGGGAGTTGGAATAGGTCCAAGGATCAGTTGGAGCAAAAAAGTGTAAATGGAGAGACAACCAGAGTACTGACTCCCATTACTCTTCTCTTCACCTCAACAAAGTAGCTTGTTTCTAGCCTGTTCTAGATTCAGCTCTCTGTGACAAATAGTTTACCCTATCTCATAAGAGAACAAGCAAAATTGTGCCAATGATATTTCACTGTGGAAACCACAGATGTTGAGAACATCAGGACTGACATTTGTTCAGTTTAAAAAGGATTGGCAATGTATTTGAAGAAGGAAACTATAAAAGGGTTTGACACTTTTATTTTTGGTCATCTGTCAAGAGGAATTTAAAAAAACAAGCATAAGGTAACTATTTTTGTTATGGTGAACGAATAATGACCATGATAGCCAATGTCAATTAAAAGAAACGAGAAGAATACCAGAGATTCGGCTCATGGTGGGCTCAGATGATTTGTGAAGATTTCAATAGGAATCACTTGGTTGTTATCCATATAAATATTAATGTAAAATGTGGTATACATAAAGAAAGAACTGAACTGGCTTCCTCAATTATGCAAATAAATAATTTAGAAATTACACTCTGCTGTGATGATTGTGTAAAATTCTTTTTGTCTCCCCAAAGCAAACATAGCTCATCTTAATAATAATACTAATCCTTGCATTTGATATTGCACCTTATCGTATCTCAAAGCAATATACTGTAAAGTGAATTAACTGTATATTTTTTATGGGTGAAACCTGGCAATCAATTGTGCACAGCATTCTCTCATGAATGGTCGTGGATTAAGTGAAATTATTATTATATTTATTTATTTAGAAGTGATTATTACTCTTCAGCCTCCACGAAAAGCAATTTTTTAAAAAAACAAAATCAGTTCATTTTAAGCCATAATAAATATTCACACTAATTTATTTGAATGCCACCAAAACCTTTGGTTTATAATCTGAGATTCTGGCTCATCTATCAATTTTAACAACTTGTTCATTTCCCCGAAAGGTTAATTTCTCAGCTCCTACAACTGAAAAACAGCTAATAATTTTCCTACTGTTTAATGCAGACTTCATTACCACAAAAAGGTTTATTATTTATCCCTCCTGGCCCAAAAATGTAATTTCTTAACTCAATTTAATAGGCTATTTTTCTCAATTGACTAATGTGTTGAGTTTACCTGTTGTCTCTGTACTCTCACACCTCAGCATTTCAATTCAGCTTTTCCCGTAGTTTCCACTCAGTCCCTCTATCTATTTTACTGCAATTATATAAATAGGTTTGAATGCCACTGACTTGACTGATTGGAGTCAGACAGTCTCAGTCTAAGAAATCAGTATATATTCCTGGAAATGTTGTATTTTGTTATTTATTATATAATCTTTGCATGTAAACATTGTTTTGAAAAACTGTAAACAAACAAAATTCAATTGCTCAGTTGTTGACAAAATATCTATACACACTCTCAGTGGATTCCAATTAACTACTTGGCAGCCACGTGAATCCTCCTACACTGATAAAAGCTCCTGAAGCAAAACCAAATGCTGAATCTAAGAATTTTAAAGCAGTTACAGTGTACAAAATAACACTGTGGCTATTTATATTAAAATGTACATACAAACAAACAGGCATATTATTATATATAGTACATAGTTACGTCCATAAATAATCCTTATTTATACCTACAGAATAAATAATTTTAGTTTTAAAACTAGTTTAGTGATGTTCTCATCGAAATTGGCTATAATTAAGTATTTGCAGCCATTTAATCGGCCAAATACTTCTCTTGAAAACAGTCAAAGCCATTTATGAACAGAGTCAGGTAGGAGAAGGGAAGTGAGAGAAAAAAAGAGAAAAAAAAACTCTTAGAACCGCACACAAGCATCTCAGATATTTTACATTGAAATAAATCACCTTGAACTGATTATCAATTTTCTAATCCACTATTTGTGGTTTAAATATAGATTATTCTGTTGCAGGGATAAATCATTTATAATCTTTGATGGCTTCATATTTTTCTTCTTATAGTGAAAATGAAGTTTTACTTTAAAAGAAAATATTATAAAGCAAATGATTCAATTCATAGATGCAACAGAATCTGTCTTTCTTTCAAGCAATTTTAATTTATCCTAAAGGTTTTAAAGCCAAAGTTCTAAATAGTCAATACATTACAAAGAGCTTTCTACATTTCTATAAATCTGCTACTATCTTTTATCGAACAAAGAGACGAATAAAGTATCTTTGGGTAACTGAAGGTTATATCACAGTCCCAGTTCTAGAAATAATCATTGCATCTGATAAAATGTTTTTCATGTCTACAAAAAATGCCAATGGGATTTGGGGCTTTAAATTTAGAGGGACAGAATATAAAAGTGAGGAGGTGAAATTGAATTTGTACAAAACCTTGGTTACACCACATTTGGGGAAACGTGTCCAATTTTGGTCTCCATACTAAGAAGGATACAGCAGTGATGGAAAGAGTACAGCACAATCTTACTAGGATTATACTAGGTTACTGCTATCAGAATAAATTAGGTCTTTTTTTCCCGCTCGGGAGAAGAGACTTTTAAGAGGGGCATTGTTGGAGATACCATACGTTGGATGAGAAAAAGCGAGGCCCCGCCTGTCTGGACGTCAAAGATCCCATGGCACTATTCGTAGGGCATTTCTCTTGATGTCCTGGGCAACAATTCCCCAGCTAAAATTGGTCATTCACTTCATGGCTGTTGGTGGGACGCTGTTGTGTACAGATTGGCTGCTATATTTACCTACAAGATACACTTCACTGTAATTATCAGGAGCAGAAAACATGGAGCCCTAACACCTCCTCCCTCGACCACTGCTCAAAGGCTGAGATTAACTGACTCTGTCCTGACCAAGTGATTCAACACGAGACCCTAGTCTGCATTTCTCAGCTGCTCCAGAGAGTTCTAACTGGGTAAAGTATTCCATAAACTATTATAAACTGTTATATTTTCCTATATATTCAAAGGCTTCCAAGCTTTATTATTATATATTAAGAGCAAAGATTTAAATAAAAAATGGTGCACATGCCA